AGAGAGAGAGAGAAAAGGGCAAATAAAGGATGATAGTACTTAATTCCTGAAATTAAAGGTTAGGATTTCAGAGAAGCGATGTTAACATGCCAAAATAATTAGTCAGGATATTTTTCTTCAAAGGTAGTCTGCTTGGTGGTTGCTTGGAGGTAGCTACCTGTAATTTTGAGCTGTTGGAACTGGAGAGACATTCGAAGGGCAGACTATGTGCTGGTTTTAGTGGTTCATACGCTTTGTATTTTAATCACAAAAATATTATTTCAAAAGTGCAAATATGGTCTAATATTTACATATTTAAACTACAAAATGCAGCTTATTACCCACACTTTTGTTGGGTTTGCCTCTGAGACAATCAGCCTATATTTGGAGGGAGGAAGAGTTTTTCTGCCAGGTTGTGCAGTTCAATACMAGAAAAAAATCACGTAGAGAGTTTGTCTTTAGAGCTCTTAATAAGGTTATAATGAAAATATCTAAGGTTTATGACTGACTGAGGTGAATTTGAGCACCTTGTGTCCTCTGTAGTTTTCTGAAGGAGTAGCTCTCAGCAATATCTTAAGCAGGTGTGAGGARTTCCTGTAAATGAGTGTGTGATGCTGGGTCCTGCCTTTTCAAGCTACCTCATAACTGGTGCTCTGTTTAATTAAATAATTTAAAAAGTGAGCCTGACTAGTAAAACTTACTTTCTTTTTCTTTGCTACCCTCCTCTATTATGTTTGTTACTTCATCATTTAAAGTTTTCAGTCAATGATGGGAAGGAAGAGGGGAAAAAAAAAAAAAAATTGACATTTCTCAGCAACTGATTTTAATTGTTTTAATGAAAACATATAAATCAAGATTTTACATGAACATTTTTATAAATTCCTACTCTGATTCTAAATATCTTTTATGGATTTGATTTTACTTACTTTTTTCTCCCTCCACCCCCAATATTTAGTTTAGTCCAATGGCTAAAGGATCCATGCGATATATGGTCTCTACTGGCGCTGATGGAACTGTTTGCTTTTGGCAATGGGATACAGATTCCATGAAATTCAAGTACGTAACTGGATTGTTGATAAACCCTTTCTATGACATAGTCTTCTTGATTAAACTAATGTTGCTTGATTATAAAATAATTTATCGTTTATTAGTACAACTGTTCTGAAAATATCCATGCTTTAAAGGGTGAATGATTTTTTTTTAATTCATGCATGATTTTAAAAATAGCAGAACTGCAACAATGGCCATTAGAGAGATGATTTCACCTGAAGAACCTTTAGGAATATGTTGTAGGAGGAGATTGTTTTAATTGTGTTCTTAATTCTGCTTATGAAATAAACCTAGAGCGCTGAATGAGGTGCAAATRCTGTTTAAATAAGATAGTGAGGATGTGTAATCATTGCTAGTTCTCAATGCAAAATTCTCATGACTTTGAATTTCTCTGCCTTTTATCATACAAATATAGATAAGAAATCATTCTTCTAATGAGTTCTAAGTATTTGTYTGGTACATAGAAAATATTCTCATTGGAGAGCAGGAAAGCAATGAGAAGAAATCTCCAATGCTTTAATGCAGGATTTTCTCCCTACTGTAGTTTTTACTCTTAAATAGCTACTTCAAATCACTGTTTGTAYGGTGTTCTAAGACTTGTATTTAATTTTATGCACTGAAAACTCCTACAGATTTTCCAAAGGGTTCTCTAATGCAATATCCATTAGATCTTATGTTCTCCTTCACTGGAATTTTACGATGACAGAACACTAGTTTTGTTCTTGTAGATACACTGTGCAAGTGGCAAATCGTACTAAAATATGGGAGATGACAGAAAATATACGTTATCTCTGTTATGTCATGCTGTCCTTTCTAGGTAATAACTGGCTTACGACTTTTTCTGCAAAATGCTAGGTGTGTGAGCTTAAAATATCCCATGTGGGTTTGTGTGTGTATGTGCTTATTTTGAAAAGAGGCAAACTTTGCTTGTCGTCTCCCMTACAAGATGCACAGATGCTACTGTATGCATTCAAGAAATAGCAATTATGTCAAATGCATTAGAAGAAACATACTAATGTGTTTTAAGAAGTTGATAAAAGCTAAGTTTTGCGTGGCATGTCCTGTTTCAAGCAACTTTTCTCTTTAAGCAATCGGCCAGTGAAGTTCACGGAGAAGCCCAGGCCGGGGGTTCAGATGCTTTGTTCCTCCTTCAGCGTAGGTGAGTAACGTGCAGGTTGTTGAGTGGTTTGTTTTAGCACTGCAGTTTCTCCTTGCCCATGAAGAGTTTGTTTGGTTATGGCAACTTACACTATGCAGAAAGCAGTCAATGTGTAGTATGTAAGTGTATATGTGAATTGTTTTCTTAAGTTTTTCATAGGCTAGTGTGGCCTACAGTGAAAGATGGCTAAATTAAGGGATTCAGTTTTCCATTTGCTGCTGGCAGCCTACAAAAGTAAAAATCACCTGTTGCTCATTTACTTTTTAGCCCTCTTTACTTGACTTTTTGTATTTGCTTAATCCCTTAGTGTAACCTTATGCTTTCCTTAGCGTAACATTTAGAGTTTCCCTAAATCTGTCTCTTAAGACACCACAGTCGTCAGAAGTGGCAGTGGTTACCAAGAAGAGTTCTTGATTCTATGCCAGACTGTATACAGGAATAATCCATAAACAAACCTTCTTGCTGGAAAATCCACAAATAGAAAAAATAGAAAAAAACCCAAAATATTTATAGATCTAAGTGATTTACCTGCCACAAATGACATTTATGCTACAATAATGGCATCATGATAACTTGCCATATTCTCCATAATTGCGCCTGTGCACAGTTAGTAAAACAAAGTGTTCCAGCGTTCCACTAATGGTGCATTTTTGCATCTTTGAAACATTGAATGTGACTTAGTGTTCTTCATATGTCTGAAAGCTTTGGGGAAGGAGGGGAGAGGATTTCATTCTACCCTTGTGTAGCTTGTATAGCAGTGGAAGCCCATAGGAAAATTGACTTTATTTGTAGGTATCTGAGAAATGTTGGTGATCTCCTTTAACTTCTTATCTGCCAGCTTAATTATGCTTGATATTTTTTAGGTGGTATGTTTTTAGCAACTGGCAGTACCGACCATGTCATCAGGATGTATTATTTTGGCTCCGAAATGCCTGAGAAAATAGCTGAATTGGAAAGTCATGCTGTAAGTATGACTGTTAACTCCAGTAGCTAGTTGGTCAAAGTTAAAATTGTGAGGTAGTAGCACTAGTGGATTTGTAATAATGTTCTTTTAGTGAATATTTTTAAGAATCTGCACAGAATTTCAGCTAGTAGTCTCAAAATGCGAGTTGGCTGTTCTAATGGGTTGGAAGATAAAGTGTAAAGATATCATTGATTTCACTTTAACCATTCGTGTTGTAGAATTGGTTGATGTTGATTAAGCCATATCCCTGTATGCAGTGAAGACTTTCAGCTCTAGGAGGTAATCTAAGCAGGGTGTGTTTATCTACTTTTTTTTTTCCCCGCTCACTGATAGAAATGAATAACTAATTGTGTATTTTAAGCACTGTGCAAGTCAGTGGGAGAAACACATTACTTTGGATTATAATGGGTTTAGAATATTGGAAGTGCGTGAGAAATTCTATTCAAAAAGTAATTTGATTGTCAAATTAACGGTAAACAGTTAAGTTAGCACTTCATGTTTAGTGGGATGTTATCAAAAACTTACATTTTAAATAATGTGTTCTTGTAAGCCTTTGGGATTGGTTTATCTTGCAGTTAAAACTGTTTGAAACTACAAATACTTCCTGTCATCTCAGATTTGTCAGAAATGTATTTCCTGTATTTCCTGTATTTCTTGTTTAAAAAAAATAATAATTTCTAATGTTTAACYCTTCTCTTGCAGGACAAAGTTGACAGCATTCAGTTTTCTAATAGTGGTGATAGGTATGTTGAAAGATACCCAAATGTAAATAAACAATAATTTGGRGGTGCACCGAGTTAAGACTGGTTAGGAAGTTTAAATTTTCTTCCTTCCAAATATGTTCTTCTGCAACTATACTTGTATTTGGCATGTTATGTTGTGCTGGTCCATCATGCTTGCATGGATTACCCTTTAAAGACACTATGAAAAAAGAGGAAAATGTGTCTATGCTTTTGCTTGGTAACACTCTTTGTGGAAGATATTTAAGATTTTAAATTATTACTAAAATGAATCCTTGAGTATTCATTCTGTTGTACTGATAGTTCAGCAGTTTATGAAAGGGAACCCAAGCCACTGAGTTTTACAGCTTGTTGTCTAAGAAAAGCCACTTTGGACTTTCCTGTGCACTGCTGTGGGTAGGAACCTCTCAAGCTGTATTAACCTGAGCTGTTCTTGATGCTACATATGAATTATTAGTACCTGATAGTTTCAGAATGGTTTGCTTAAAAATCTTAACTATTTTTACAATTTTACAATTAAAATATTGTAATTGAAAAAGTTGGTGATAGTTTTTGTAAAATGAATTTAAGTTTGGAGCTTGCCACTTTAATAGACCTATTGACAGCTATTCTGCTTCAGCTCTCAAAAATTCCCTTTTGACCTCTGGAAAGAAGGTTAACCAGAGGAGACTGTATAGATCCCTCTCAAACACACACTGAAGAATTAGTCTTTATCAGTCTTTCATTGTGATGTTTTAAATTTGTGCTTATGTCTCTGTGATTCNGGGGGGGGGGGGGGGAACCCTTCAAAATAGAGATTCTTTTGAGGGGCTGAAACTTTTGTTTTTTAAATTTCTTCAAGGTTCATAAGTGGCAGCAGAGATGGAACAGCTCGAATCTGGCGTTTTGAACAAGCAGAGTGGAGGAGTATTCTGTTGGATATGGCTGATCGATTACCAGGGTAGATGGAGTGTTGTCATTTTATCTGTTGCATAAAATTGGAAAGTTTGGAAAAAGCCATCAAACACATTGTCTTACAATGAGACTTTGCAATATTATGGTGGTGTAATCTTTAGGGGGGAGTTACTGATTTTTCCAATGATGATAATAGCTTCTTAAAGTTTTATTTGCACTTGAATAAGTGCATCAATAATATTTAGCTTTCAAATGTAGATTTTGTCAAACTATGTTAACTTCTTATTTGACAAAAATAACCTAAAACATAGCAACTCTTTCCCATCTGGGCTTTTGTAAGGTGCCTGATGTGGTAGGAGAGACTTTTTTGTGTTAGCAAAGATGAGGTAAATATCAAGGTCTTTCCAGGAGGGAGGATGACAGGTGATCAGTGGATTTCATCAAGAACTGATCTTGCAAACTACTTTGATTGTTTCTTTTGAACACTTCAAAAGTATGCTAATGAAATATGCTGGTGGAATGCAGCATGAACAGCATCACAGCAGGTGAAAAACAGGATTTTATATGGCACTGGAGAAACCTGCATCCTGGGTGAGGTTCAGTAATGTAGAGTGCTAGGTTGCCTTTTAGGAGCTTTTTAGGCAGAAACCTGATGAATTTGGAATTGATTAGATGCACAACTCAGTTGTACTAGATGATCAGAGGATGGTTGCAAGCTATCTTTGTGGTGCAGCTATGACAAACACAGGTGTTTTCAATAGAAATAAAGCAGAAATATAGACATCTCTCTGGGATAATCTGTACAATTTTAGCAGTGTATACAGCAGCAGGAGCAGCAGGATTCATTGTAGAAAACAGTGCTAGCTGACATGGGAAATAGTGTTACATGAAAACATCTGAAAACCTCTTTCCTTTTGTTGACTGAAATGCTGAAGGGAAGTGATATGGTATCCTACCATACATATATACACAAACTATTTTGGGGGTAGAAACAAAAGGAAATGAATTAAGGTTGCTATAAACTATTGTCATAGTATTAATATATTTGTTTTGAGACTCGCTTGGGTTTCTCACTTAAAATGATATTATTGCCCCAAGTTTCCTGAGCTTGTCAGGATAAGGCTTGTGGAAGTTTCAACTTTCCTAAAGCTTTTGCTATTGATATTCTTCAAAATAAAAATATAAATTTTAATGACCTTTACATAGAGGACCAATTATAGAAAAATAGAATTGAATATTCTATTGCAGAAGTGCTTGCATAAATATTAATTCTGTGATGGCATAATTACTCCCTTAAYATTTATGTTGAATTTTTTGAAAATGAACTATTTTAGAGTTAAAAGCCAATTGTAAATATAAATTGTTCAAACTCAGGAAGTACAGGCTTTTTTATTCAGAAAATGAAAGTAATGAGCAAAAAAATCCAGTAAAAAACTAAATCATGTTGTCCCTTCCCTTCYCTTGCCTGATTCTCAACTCTGGAAAACAAGTTATTCTGTATTTTGAGATTGAAATGGGCTAATTCAAAATATTCATATTTGCACAACTCTTTTAAAGTAGTGATTCATCTTCAGAAGAAGACAAATTTATGAAGCCTAAAGTAACAATGATAGCGTGGAACCAGAACGACAACTACGTTGTTACGGCTGTGAATAATCATCTTCTCAAAGTGTGGAATTCCAATACAGGGCAGTTGCTTCATGATTTGGTGGTAGGTAATTTTACGTACTTTTTGGAGTAGATGGCCTTCCTTGAGCTGCAGTGACATGTGCATGAGGAGCTGATCATTAAATCTGATTTGTCTTGAGAGCTGTATGAGAATAGTAAAGCCAGTGTAGATTTGTTTTAAAACCAACACTAACTGCTTCCTTCAAAACAAAACAAAAAAAAACCCAACACTTTCCCTAGCTGCTGTGTTGAACTTACTTCTCCTGTGAAATGTTTCAGATTGCCATGAAATAACAACATACTCACCAATTTAATAGTTTATTGTCATTTTTGGTGAGAGRAGGTATGTGTGTGCTTCCAAATTTCTAAATTTGTTTGTCCCCTGGTAGAATCTAGGAAGTGATCAAATTTAGAATGAAATGGTCTGGATTTCCATCCTGCTTGTTCTGTGGCCCTCCGACTGTAAGGGTAGCAATCCCAATAAATATGTTGTGGAAAGCTGTGGCATTTCTGGAAGTCTTTGAATTTTTTTGAAGGTGGCTGAGAGGGAGTTCATTTTCCAGAAGGGTTGAGAGCGAGGAGGGGATGGCCCAGCGAGTGCTTTAGGACTCCACTCTCAGTGTCCTGCTAATTTAGATTTCTCCTCTGTTTGCATGTGACTTGCAACTTCGAATTTTAGGGGCATGCAGATGAAGTATTTGTCTTGGAGACCCATCCTTTTGATTCCAGGATTATGTTGTCTGCGGGTCACGATGGCAACATCTTTATCTGGGATATTACAAAAGGCACGAAAACGAAGCATTATTTTAACATGGTAAGACTTCTCTGTGTGTTTGTGGTGTTGTAACTGTTTTGTTGTTGTTGTAACTCTTCACTTTTTTTTTCTCAAGATATAGCAGTATGTTCACATGCTATTTTAAATTATGATAATATTATTGTGCTAGCAAGTGTGAGTCTTTCCCTCAACCCCTTTTTCTACCCTGAAAATTTGCTCTAAGGCAGCAAAAGCCATGAGCTCAGTTTCTCTTGAGCTTTTACTTTGAATTCCTTGACTATAGCAGCCTGACTTGTAACTTAACCCTGAGTGAGTTTAACTGTGAGTTAAACCTGAGTTAACCCTTAACCCTGAGTGCAGCTTAGCACTGCAGGAAAGGGAGATTCTGCTTCTCTAGTCTACTCCAGGCTGCTGCTTTGGTGCTCTGCCCCACTGAAGGCACCAGGTGTGGCTTGATGACTGCAGTAGTGAGCTGCAGTGGGTCACTGCTCTGATCGAGAGCGTTTCCCCATCCTTCCACTGCTAGTTTGCTCCTGGCTAGAGTGTCAGATGACCTCAGCATGCTCTGATCCCCTGGGAGAAGGGGAGTAATTGTAATTTGTAATTGGGTATGAGGATTGGGAGAGCTGGAGGAAGACTTTCCTTTCATCATGGTCAATAATTGTGCTAGTCTGACTTCACCTGTTGATCCAGTTCTCTTGCCACTAAGAGTTTTTTTTCCTTTCCTTATATGTCATTCGTAGGGTTTTTTTTTATTATTATTATTTTTGAGTTGACCTGACTAAAAAGATGGAAAGGTTCTGTTTTGGACCATCATTTCAGGAGACATATGAGCCAGAATTCACAGAAGTCTTAAAACTGGAAATGTTATTACAGTAAGCTTAGTGATGTGGGCTGGCTCTTCCAGATGACATTCCCTTAATTTGATAGCTTTTCATTTGAATTTTGAAATACAGGTAGTAGAGAAATGACTTTTAGTTTTAAGATTCCCCGTGCTTTTTATTTAAGGTGGTTAATAAAACCAGTTAAAGCACAAAGAATTGTGATGAGTGTATGGCTGCTTTTAATAACTCTTGCTGCTGTTGCATTACTGTTTGCTCAAAAAAAAAAGTCTGAAAAAGTCGTCTTGAGTTTCTTTCCTTCAATCTAGATTGAAGGCCAAGGACACGGTGCTGTTTTTGACTGTAAATTTTCACCAGATGGGCAGCATTTTGCATGTACAGATTCTCATGGGCATCTCTTGATATTTGGTTTCGGCTGTAGCCGGCCTTATGAAAAGGTAAGTTAAATTTCTACTAAAGCTGTTATTGTTTCCAAGTTAAGATATTTAATTCATTTTRTTCCTTTAATATGGCCTATAAAGAACTCTTCTTATGGGGAGGAGATCTAAATAAAGCTGCTTTCTTGATGTTTGTGAGTTCTCTTATGTTCATGGTTATGGCATGGCAAAAAAAAGTGTCATAAAATTCCCCTGGGAATAGCTTGCAAAAACTTTTTGTAACACATATTCGTCTTCAGCAGCTACTGTGCATGTTAATTGTTCAATCTTGTGATAATTGACMTAATTGCTAGAGGTTCCCCCTTCTACCAGCTTAGCATAAACTGATTTGCTTTGCATTTTAGTAACACATTAATATTAGCTGTACTAAGTCTTGCAAATATTAAAGCTTTAAAATTTTAAATATATCTACCAAGTCTTTTCAGTGCATCAAAACTGCTTTTATTCCTAATTTCTCAAAAAGAATTAGTGCTTTAAGACTGGAATTTATCATCGAGTTCATTGCTCTGTTATCTAATCATTATTACTTATGTGCCATACTCTGTTTCCTTTCTGTTTAGTTAAATACATGTGTTTTCTTGAAATAGCTGTCAAAAATAAATTTCTGATATTCTATATTCTTCTTTGCTAGTCTTGTTTGTTTGTGTGTGTGTGTGGGGGGGGGGAGGATATGTGTGTCTTTTCTTAGTAGGTTATCAGCTGAAATTGTAATTCATTCTGTTCATTTTGCTTGTTGCTGCCAGAAGCAAAGATTCTGAGTGTGATTTAATACTTGTGTAACACTGTTTTTCTTCAGTGGCATGCATTTAACGAATTGTTTCAGTTGCAGGAAGATTTATTTCTGATGAACATTAATTAAGAAAGAAATCAACCTTGAGAATTTACATTGAACTTTAGACATTGGTTTCCTTTCATGGAAAACAGACAAACCTGGTTAACTGCATGGGCAGAGAAAAAGAGTAGGATGTATAATATTTTAATTTTAAGTATAGAACAATGCTTTAAGTGTTTAAGTGATCTCAGGAGTTTGTTGTTCTCCTTCAGTGAGAGCTTAACTTTTYCCTTTTAAGGTAAAAGATACATGAATTAGTGTAACCTTTTCTTTCATATTCTTTAGCATATTCTTTTTTTTTTTTCAAATTGACAACATACCAGCTTCATTTCTTTCTAGATTCCTGATCAGATGTTCTTCCACACTGACTATCGACCACTTATTCGAGACTCTAACAATTATGTCCTAGATGAGCAGACTCAACAGGCTCCTCATCTCATGCCCCCCCCCTTCTTAGTAGATGTGGATGGAAACCCTCATCCAACAAAATATCAAAGATTGGTGCCGGGAAGAGAGAACTGTGCTGAYGAACACTTAATACCTCAACTTGGATATGTAGCAACAAGTAAGAACAGCATCACTAAAAGACCTACATAAAGAAGTTAAAATTACAGTAGTAATTCTGGATGGGAAAAGAATAGATTTGACATAGCTGATTTAAAACTGCTGTTGTTTTCTTGTGTGCTTACAGTTGTAATCTGTTTCAGTTAAAATTACTGAATGGGCAAACAGTAAATACTACTTAAGTCAGTAGTGCACACAAAAAAGTGAGATTCAGATGAGGGGCCCAAGTTCTTGTGGGTTTTATTTTTTTTCTCTGCCTGCTGTAGCTGCTATGTAGAGACCAGGACTTTTGGGCTCTGTGTCTCAAAAGTTGTAAGGAATTTGAGTAATTTCCAAAATTATTCTCTTTCTATTCTTTTAACTTTGAAACTCATTTCCATGTGATGAGATTGATATTACATATTTCCTGTAATCAGTTAGTTTTATTTGTGATTCTTATTATGCTTGCAAGGTGATGGAGAAGTGGTTGAACAAGTTATAGGCCAACAAACAATTGATCAGGATGAACAAGGCTTGGAGCCCAGTATTCTTGATGGCATGATTAGACAGTTACAGCAACAACAAGACCAAAGAATGGGAGCTGATCAAGAAACTGCCTCAAGCAGCCTACAAAATGGAGAAGGAACCCCTAGAAGAGGTTGGAACTTCCTACTAAATACTCTTTTTTTTTTTTTTTTTTTTTTAAATCTTGACTGTGTTTATTTTGTTACATGGCATGATGGCATGGAATATTTCAAACGGGTTTTAACTTGTATGCTCTTTTGGACACTAAAATGCCCTTAACAGAGAGAGATCTGATAAAGATTCATTTTTCTTAGTTAAAACACTGCTACTCTTGTGATTAAATTGGAAAACAAGCTCCTTCCCTCTTTTTAAAAAGCCTTAGTTTAAATTTATTTTAGACTGCTATACTTTTAAGAGTAAATGTACATTATACAAAAACAATATGATTTTTCTATTTCTCTAAAGTTAGCCRAAATAAAAAGAAATTATTCAACCTAGGGTTCAAGTTCAGGTACAGATTTAAATCAATCTCCTTTAGGTCTCTTTGCAGTTTTGGTTGTGCATAAACACAACTTCTGACTGCGTGCTTCTATAGCCCGATTAACTTCAGAACTACCTGAAAAAAAATTGAGGAGCACCCTTGGTACTATACTTTCATGTATGGATAGCTTTCATATTAAGATAGTCATAAAAATAATCATTTTAAAAGCTCTACTGGGAATCCCAGTCTGTTTTCTGTGAGACAGATAGTTTCCTGAATGCAATAATTGGATACATGTTTATGAAAATGGAGATTAAAATACAGGATATTGTCACTTTTTTTACCTCTTATAAGAATAGAGAAAGTTCCTCTTCTCTGTAGTCTATTAAAGGAAAGCAAATGTGTGTTTTAGCGTTCAGAAGACCGAGCTTGGACATCCAGTCTCCTCCGAACATCGGCCTGCGGCGCAGCGGCCAGGTGGAGGGAGTGCGGCAGATGCACCAGAACGCGCCGCGGAGCCAGATGGCCACTGAGCGGGACCTGCAGGCCTGGAGGAGAAGAGTAGTCGTCCCAGAAATACCACCAGCCTTGCTAAGGTGTGCAGCCAACTTAGTGTTTGCCAGTAACTCCATAGAGAACATACCTTACTGTTAATTTTAAAGCCAGTCTTATCACGCTTAAAATAGATACATGGTACAGATTGAAAAATCAGTTATATTTTCAGCTGCTCTTAAAACTTAATTGAAAAGTCCATTCTACAAACATGAGTGGAAAGTCAGTTTAACAGCCTTTCTYGCATACTTCCAAATTTCTAGTTACTTTGAGATTCTTTCTTACTCCAGAATACAGGGATAGAGGTTAAATTCATTTGCACAAGTTCACAAAAGTTGTGCTTTTGTGGGACTTCATAGCGATAACAAGAAACATTGAGTACTTGGTAAGTTGAAGCCAGGAGTGTAGTGTGAATCTCTGTACAGCAGAGGTGCTTCAGTGCAGAAGCAAACAACCTCTTCCAGAAGTATTGTCACTACGCACCTGTTAAAAGGAGAGGCGAGATGCGGAGGTGAATATTTCCTTTCAGTCATACAGCCATATGTGTTGCCACATTTATGAAAAAGATTTTAYGCAGCTTTCGTGGTGTTCAGTTCTTGGAGGTAGAATGATTACGAAAGGAAAAACAGGATTTTAAAATGTGGTTGAAAGTTTGCTATATGCTGATSGATGTTTGCCTGCCTTTGAGGAAARCCTTTTCTTGTAACATCCCGCTTCTTCAYTCTATCCAGAAATGGAAATTATCTTCTTGGAAATTAACTTCTGGGATATTTTTGAAAGAGCTTTTAAAGAGAGCAGGTCTGTGACTATTCAGTTGAATTTAAGTATCATCTAAATGGATTTTCATAATTTCCTTGTAGGAAGCAGGAAGAATATCGAATTGCAAAAGGAGAAGAGGAGAGAGATCTTTATGCAATGGAGAGGAAAAGAAAGTCATTCCAGTCATCAGAAAAGGTAGGCAGAAGCTTTTACAAACCTGTAAATTCTTACCTCTGATATAAACAAATCATGCTTATAAGAATCAGCACACTTCTCTGAGGATGGATAGTTTCTGAAGGGATTCTTGATGGTTCTGTTTCTACTTCTTAGTGCAAGACAAGGCTTGTTTATTTATTTATTTTTAATTTCTTTCTTCCTGTCAGGGAACCTAGGCTCCTTCCATCTAAGACACTTAATAGAACAGATGAAGGCAGGGTTAGTTTCAGGGCTTTCTGGCCCAGCTAAACTGTACAAGGTAGTTAAGGGATCAAGGACACATTTGAAGGTTTATGCTAAAGAATAGAGACRGGTAAGACTATTCAAGATGTTTTTTCTGTTTTATCCTATTTTGAATACTTCCATTTTCTCCTTTTGGAAAAGGTGAGTTTAAGAACAATAAGAAACAGATATTCTATGTTTTTTTTTATAGAAAGATAATGATCTGATTCACTGCATCTTGCAATACAAAACAGCTCAGTTGTAAAAACTGTACTGTATGATGCTCTTAACTGGGGGAGTCAAGGAGTTCTGGGCCTCAGAATTATGTTTTTGGGCAGTTTCATATTAGGATTTTCTATTTTAATATTTAGTGTTTATCAGGTAATTTGAATCTACCTGTCAGAAATAGTAGCATGTGAAGAGTGAGATTATATTTATTAATTTATATTTTTAGAATGATATTAAATCATAAATTAGAAAAATGAGACTTCAAGCTAATGGCTTAAAGCAAAATTATTTCTCGTGGAAAGGAATTACATGATCAGGCCATTTCAGTTTTTAGATTCACCAGTGCTTTTAGATACTCTTCCACCTCTACAAAGGGGKGTTTGCTATACATGTATTTGTCTTTAACCTCTTAATTTTTGKKTTTTTTTAATAAATTAGAGTGACTCTGAATCTTCATTAATACAATCTAAGCGTAGACTGCATAGACGCAAATACCCAAATTACCGAACACGGAAAAACATTGAACAACTTGAGTCTTCTGATGAGGAAAGAGATGACTGCTTTGGCTTGATAGAGCAAGTAAGTTCTCTCTGAATTCTGTGCTGACAACCCAAGTTCTTGGAAAAAGTAAAACCTTGTAAAATGTGCATTTTCCTTTCAGAAATTCCTATCAGAGAAAGTATTTCTRTAAGGTGGTGGTTATGAGTGTAAATTGAGACTTTTCTCAGAACTAGTTATCAGTAGCTTTAGGAATTGTATCAAATCTTCCCTGTTGCTTTAGCAATGGTTAAACTATAGTCTGAGGCAAAAATTCAATGTACAACCTTGAAGCTACCTTAAATGGAAAATTGAATTTTAGATGCCTTGTTGTTGTTCTTGGTAAAAACACTTCCAAATCTTCTTGCACCTACACCTGAAAATSTGGAAAACTTGCAAATATTCTATGATGAAGACCTTTTGCCTGCTTTGGTGTCAGGTGCTTTAATAGACGTGTGTCATAGGACTGCCTTGGACTTGTGTTGCTCTTCCTTGAGCACGATGAAAGAGTAGGTCAAACGGAGAGGAGGAAAGGAGTGGAAGATTTGGGAAGGTTGCTGTGTAGTYGGGAAGAGGGCTTGTCAGAACTGTCGTATATTCAGTACTCTCCATTCTTATTTATCAAAATAAAGTGGGAGACTAGAACTGAGAAGATAATTCTGTAAGACAGTTGAAGAATGGTATTCTTTGAAGCTGAAGAAAAGCAACTAGTGAATGCTGCCTGTCCTATGCATTGTGTGAACAGGACCGATGGTTTGGTGAGGAGAAATAGCACCAAATTGTTTTGCATCAAGCTGCTAATTTCCTTACTGTGGCCATCTGATAACTTTTATCAGGCGGATGAATTCAGACAGTGTCGTTTCAGCTTACAAGTCGAATACTATTTCTTTTTTGCTTGATGATAGAGAGTCTGAGACATGGCAATGTGTTCTATTCAGTGACTTCACTTATGGAAAACAGTTCTTAAGCATGAAGTATAAGTGAGTTGTTCAGCAACTCATGTAAATGAGTTGTAAATGTACATGAATTGTTCAGCAGCAGTCAGGAAGCTAAGTTGTAATGTATTTTGTGGCATTTTTGAATGCTTATTTACAGAGCTTTGAACTTAAATACGTGCTTGAAAATACCCAGTTACTATTGGATCAATCAGATGACGCTAAAATCAAAAAAATTACCATATCCTCACTTGTATAAATAGTTAATGGAAAAAAAAAAAAGGATTTTCAGAACTACTAATTCAGAAACAGATTATGCCMTGTTACGTGCACATGGAAAATGTGATAGGCTTATTTAAGTTAYTCTTCTCAACTTACAATACTTTATATTTTAGTGAGCTAGATTTTATTGTATGTTTTCCATGACTTAATCGGATCATCATAAATTTGTAAATTGAAGCAGTCAAAATCACCAGGAAGTTGTTTTTTTCTGGCAAAGAATGTAAATTTAGATTAGTTAAAAACCAACATTGCCATATGAAAGGGCAGAGACTGTTGTYGACTGTCCAGCTGCCCATCAGCGATGGGCAGTTGGATCTTACAGTTAGCTGATGGGTGCAGATAGATGGACAGAAGTTAGGGACTAATGGTGCCCTCCTGAAGTTAGTACCTGACAAGGTGAAAATCTTTTTGTTGTTGTTTGCTGGGTTTTTTTGTTTGTTTGTTTTTATTTTTTTAACCAGGCAAACATCTTCCTAACTTTGTACTATGCAGGCGTGAAAAAAGAAAGTTTTAGGTTTAAAGATAGCTAAAACATGTCTGAAAAACTTCAGAATTGATACTAAATTATGCTTTTTAAACTCAGGAAGCTGAAGAAAGTGAAGGCTCTGGCTCATCTGATGAAGAGGAAGAATGGAGAAGTGACAAAAAAAGCAACAGTAATAGTTCTAGGTAAAGAAAAAATGCATCTATTTCATCGTGACTTTTGCTTGAATTTTGGTAAATGAGAGGTGTGAAGTTCTAGCATGATTCATAAGTGCTAATATATTGTCTGATCATATGATAAAATATACTACTGCTTCATTGTAGTTTTCCTTTTCACAAAAATGTTCCTATCTTTTGATACAGTTTCAAATCTATTTATTGATGGCAAGGAGAGAGAAGGCAGATTTTTTTTTCCTCTCTCTCAGCAATAATCTGTGAATATTTGCCTAAGATAACTTACCCACTGAAATATTCAAAATGTCCACCTGATTCCCTGGTTGTATCTTCCTTTTCTGCCTGTTTTCCCRTGCCCTTGGACAGCGATTCTTCAAGCAGGTACTCTGACTGGATCGCTGACGCAGGGATTAATCTGCAGCCTCCCGTGCGGACTTCTCGAAGGAAAGCTGTCCGATACTGCAGTACTTCAGAAGAYGAAGTGTCAGCAGAGAAAACGTCTCCTCCAAAGAGAAGAAGGAGAAAAAGAAGGAAAAAGCCAAAACCGAAAAAACAGGAGGAGGTATTCGATATTTGATTCCTTTTACTCACTGTTTAATAGAGCTCTCTCTTAGGGTTCAGACCTCTTTCCAGGAAACTCTTATAAACCAGTGGTTTTTACCTTTTATGGGGCAAGGATGTTGGTATCTCTACCAAACAAATAATAGTTTTCATAAAATAAACCTCACGTTTCAGCTTCTTCAGAATTCCCATGTGCTATTGTCCTTTGATTTGCTACTGTTAGTCCATAGGTGCTTTTACATAAATGTGATATTCTTGCTCTTTTTTGCTCTCTTGATACCTATTAAGATAAACAAATATTTTTAACTTAGTGTAGACAATAACTGTAATGTTTTTTACAGCTATGGAGTAGTACTGATAGAGAAATCTTACAAGCAATATTTAATACCACTTCTACGGAGCTTTGGAAGTACCAATCTATCCAGATATAGGAGTAGTTGGTAGTTTAGCACTCCGCCTCTCAGAAAACTCAGCATGCTTGTTCATCACTTGGCAGCATGTTCAAAGCAACCGCAAATCTGAGTATGAATTGCTTTTTGAGACTGAATTGCTCTTTGAGGCTTCACATACAATGTGCATTTACTTAATTTGAGAAGATTTCAAAACCTTTCAAAATAGGGAGTAGTCAGCAAGAGATACATAGTAAATTGTTTGGAAGAATCTGCACTGCAAATGAAAGTGACTTCCATTTTGAGATAAAAAAAGGTCAAAAGCTTGTCTGACTTTGTTTAAAACCAGACAAGCTGTTAAAAACAGACCTCGTCTGGTTTTAAACATTCTTTCCTGAAGACTGTGGATTGTAGTCAATATATTTTATGATGTCCATTGATAGTTGGGTTGAAATTTATTCTTAAATACGTTAGTAGAATAAATCAAAATAATCTTGATCGTCTTCTAACTTGAAACAGAAATAGTATTTTGAGCATTTTTATAACTTGTATGCCTTTTCATCCTGTTTTCTTCAGATATTTCATAAATCATCAATATCATCAATAGATTTCAAATTGTCTTGACAGATATTTACTGAAGAAGTACTTGCATTATTTGATTGTTACTTACGATGTTATGTTAATATTGCTTCAAAAGTTTAGTGTCCTCTGTCTTTTAAGATGCTCCTGATGAGCAGGATTAACTTGTCTGCCTACGGAATGAAGTGACGTGAGAATAAATGTTGTCAAGTTGCTTAGTTTCTAAGTGTGTATAATGACTATGCAATATGTTTCATAATTTTCCGTCTTCAAATAGCTTCTTGCAGCTTGTTAGATTTTTAGTTAGTCACTGAGAATACTGATTAAATTGTAACCTTTGGTTCTAGGGATCTGCATAATAAGTTGCCTTGCTTAGTCAGATGTTCATGTAGGAAAAGAATACTTCATGTGGGTACTGCAAATGTGCTTACAACCAAAGCAGAGTCTTAGAAGAGTTTTGGTAATAGGTTTTGGAAGTGTACATCGGTCTCTCATGGCCTTGTCTGGTCAATTAAAACTGGAAATTGTTTTGATGTCATGCCAAGAAAATGTCTCATATCTAATTTTACTGTTTATTAAATATGAAGGCTGGTGCTTCAACACAGCCAGCAAACTCGGATTTGTCGTATGACTGGCATCCTCCTGTTTGGATCACRGACACTGCTCTTAGACGATCTCCGTTTGTACCTCAGATGGGCGATGAGGTAAAACTACTTATTAAAATCTGCTTTAGAAGCTTGTTGCTTGCACATTAGCATAGTTGTTAAGTACTGAAAAATGCTGKTTTTTTGTTTTTGTTTTGCCTTTAAAGGTAATATATTTCCGACAAGGACATGAGGCTTACATTGAAGCGGTTAGAAGAAATAATATTTATGAGCTGAATCCACACAAGGAGCCATGGAGAAAAGTAGTCCTTAGGGTAAGACTACCTTGAAGGTGTGCGAGTAGCATTCGGTTACCTGTGGGAAGCCTGAGTGTAAATCCTGTCTTAAAATKGCTGAGACTGAAAGACTGACTTCTATTAAAGTATTGCATATGTTTTTCATATTTCTGGCTCTCTGGATGTGGCTGCAATGTGAAATTAGGAGTTTTGTGCACAACACAGGAGAGAATGCATTCATGAAACTCTTCATTTTTACCTGTAGGACCAGGAGCTGGTAAAAATTGTTGGAATCAGATACGAAGTTGGTCCTCCCACGTTGTGTTGCCTCAAGCTTGCTTTTATAGATCATGCCACTGGAAAACACACAGACAAATCATTTTCCATCAAGTACGTGCATCTTTATTTTCCTGAAAAAAATATTCAGAAGTACAACCCTTTATAAGCTTCTYGTAAAGCCTTGAAGTCACATGCATAAAAGCAATTTTTCTGTCTAGGTACCACGATATGCCAGATGTCATTGACTTCCTTATACTGCGCCAGTTCTACGATGAAGCACGGCAAAGAAACTGGCAAGCTTGTAAGTCACTTTCTAAGTATCTGACCGGAGAATTTTGAAATAAAAAGTATGGTTGAAACTACTAATTGCTGTATTGGAAATTTTGGGGGATTTCTATAGATTCAAGATGAGCCTTTGAAATATGTTGCAATTCTAGTCTTTTCTTGTTTTATAGTTGAAGTTAGCAAGCATATTTACATTTTAAAATTGCAGTAGCTATCTTGTGGGTTTCGAGGGCTTTTTGGGTTGTTTTTGCRTCATAGGTTGTCTCATTTTGTTGAAAGTTACTAATTTTAGAACTTTAAAATTTGCTGATGAAAAACTTTTATAGTTACGCACAGAGCTCTTATTAGCAAAATGTGAGCGGGCTTTTTTTCTGTCGCAGCTGACAGGTTCCGCTCCATTATCGATGATGCCTGGTGGTTTGGGACAGTGTTGGGTCAAGAACCGTACCAACCTCAATATCCAGATAGCCACTTCCAGTGTTACAGCGTTAAGTAAGTAAAAAAGGACTTTACACTTTTAAAATGACTGTTGGGGTTTTCTCTTACACAGCTAGACTGTTGATATAAGAATTCTCAAGTTGTTCAAATGATTTTATTGGTTGTAACATGRCTTTGCTTCTTAGTCACTAATCGAGCACAAGGTGAATATGTAATATTTTGAGGGAAGTTTTTAGTAAGTAATGATGTAGTAAAACACATTCCTGAATCTTTTCAGAATCGTGAATTGTTTCAATTACTGAGCATTGGTGAACTGCTTTCATGAGGCAAACAGTGCAGTGAAATACACCGCACGGTTGCTATAAGCAATTACCAGTGGATGCCAGTTACTCCTGGTAACTGGGTATGGTCTGGGCATGCTGAATCCCGTCTGTTTTGTTGAGCTTGGTGATCCTTTTGGTGCTCAAGTTGTACAATCCTGTCTTTCATGTCTTCTGTGGGAGCAAGCATACCTATAACATGACTGTGTATGTACCTGTGTACAACAGTTAAGGCTCACCTGACTCTTAGACGTTGTTCTTCCTTTGTGCTGGACACCTGAAAGGTGAAGGYAGAACTTCACTACACCAGGCCATTAAGAGACTGGTCTGCCAGATTCTGTTATGGATGTCCTGCTTGTGGCTTCACCTTCTCATTTCTGATTGGCGTGGTATTCAGCTGAATAACTGTAGCAGTCCTGTGTTACTGGTGAGAGACAAATTCCTCTGACCAGTCTACCTGTCAGATCCTGATCCTTTTGGATAGATTAAGGCATATGGGGCGGATGATCAGGTTACCATTTGTTTTGAATAGTGCTATGAAAGATATTAAGAGTAGGAAAAAAGAACGGTTTAAACCAGAAAGGCCAGGCAAGTTGAAGTTTCACTGGCAGAGGAGGGTTGGACCCATGCTTCTTGCCCTGAGGCATGTGCCAGCATGTCCTGTTACTCTTCTTCCCCGTGTGGATTAGCACTGTTCTTGTGCACCTTCTCTCATATGGGCAAAGATCCATCACACAAAGGAAGCAAGGTTAAACAAGGTAACTCTGGACCTCTATCTTCAGCATCAGGCTATTGTCTCTCTCCAAGTTGTCTGGGATAGCCCTGGTGTCCTTGGATTCCCTCATGGAAGAGAGACCGCCAGGAGGCTGACCTTGCTTGCCAGGCACGCTGCCTGCTTTGAACTGCAGTTCCTGGCTGCTGTCTCTTCCGGTGTTATGTAAAATAATACACCAAGGAAACATCCACGGAGTCTGGATGTTGCTATCAGAAACAATATTAGAGTTAAACCTTATTTCAGAGCACTTAATTTATATCTGTTAAATAAAAACAGCTCAAATTATATTGCTGTACCTAATGTGTCATCTGTATGTTACACCTTTCGTGTTTCCATATATTAACACTATTACTCCTTACAGTAGATGTAAGTGGAGTTTTTAGTTTCTTTCAGAAATCACTTTTTTCGGTTAATTGAAAAGAGATTGTAACTTATTTTCCTACACTCGCTTATCTATGAAGGCTGAAGAATATTTCAGTGTCTTTATTGTGCCAGCTTTTAAGGGCAGAAGGTCCAGAGCTACTTTGAAGTTTGTTTATTTGGTAAGCAGCACTTCCAAGTGAGATCCCTTTAAAGATCTGTGCTGCATATGGAGAGAACGTGAGTATTTCACCCCTGCTCATGAACAACTTGTATGTTGATTTCTGGGCATTTTGCATGCTTTCTGCAAGCTTTATTATTTGATAGAGAGTGAAATCTTTCAATTTTAAGGATTCGAGCATAGGGCGCAAAATCTGTAAAGATTCCTAAAATGTATAGGATGGAATTGCCTCTCAAATAGACTAATGAAATACTGTCATCTCCCAGCTCTCATTTCATTCTCAGTAGTGATCTATTCRGAGGAAAAGAAATGCAGGTGTATGACAGTGTACGAACTGTTTTGTAGGGACAGGGRGCTTTGATGACTTGACATGGTCACGGGCTCYTTAAAAAAATGTGATCCTTATTCARGAATCTTCAGATTAGACCAAAATACCTTGCTGTGGAACAGTGAAGGTTGCTTTTTAACTTGTGTCTGTGTGCTCTATAAACTGAATGCAGAGCGAGATTTTTCATTTCACTTTTGCGTCTGTTTTAAATGAAAGAAAACAAGAAACCTAAACAAAAGTTTATTATTTTGCCTTGAGAGAGGAAAAATACAAAAAGCTGCTGTTGTTCTTCAGTCAGAATCGGGGTTATGGTGCTTTATTATAATCTCTGTTTAATCTTGCTAATCTGTCTGAGTTTGGCATCTGCAGCTATTCTTTGTGAGACAAAGAGCTTTATTAGAACGGCACTGTTACTTATAGAGGAAATACTCTTTGAAAATGGCTTCAGAACAGTAGATGGAAAGTGTTAGATGCCTGATTTGAATGAAATGGAGAGGAATAATTACCCCAAAATTGTAAATTATTGACTGTTTCGTACTATTCCTTTTAATACATTCCAAAATTTCTCGGCAACCAGGTCACTGCACATGAAGTCATTTTCTCAAATTAGCACCACAGCTGCTGTGTAGTTACTAAATAGTTGGAAGCTGTATGAGCTGAATGTATTAATTTTTTGGTTGTCCTAAAGTAGGCAATTTGTGTAGAAGCAGCTTTATGTAGATGAAGATGTGTGGACATAGACATAAAGCTTTATGTAGATACGTTCATAAACGGAGCTTTAGCTTGACTGAACTATGTTGATATCCTTCACATAGTATTACGATGCAGTGTATACATTCATTAATACCAGTAGCTTCTAAGGTATCATTGATGGGCAGAGAACATCTGGTAGATAAACCTTCCAAAATGTGTGAGCTCCTGTACATCAAACAGGCAGAGTATGGATTGAGCAAAGTTGCTAGATTTACAGGTAGTGCAAAATAATAGAGGTGTCTTACCTAAGCAGTGTTTTAGTTGTAGGATATTCTGAAGAGGGTTATTGAATTTCCACTTTCATTGTGAAGTAAGTACGTAGGAAGTGCGAGGCTGTGTATGTACCCTGGGATGTATGGAGTCACAGGAACTGCATGGCGTTCACCAAGGTGTTTGAAGAAATCACATTTGAAACTGCTGGCCAAGTTGCAGCATGGGCTACGGTTGGGCACAGAGACCTGTCCACATGCACAGGTACAAAAGCAGTGGGACAGTCATCTAAGGAAACCTGTCAGCTCCATGTACCTGTGTATTTGGAGAGATGTCATTGTTAGTGTATCCTCTGTTACTGTTTTAATAATGCTGCTGTTTTGGGTCAGTTGCATATAGCCAAAATCAGGAGGACAATTTTGATTAGAAATGTATTAAGAAGAATGATTGCTTTATGCATTGTAGTACTCTTAATAGCTGACTAATGCTCTGCCTTACATGCTCTTACATGGTGTACTTCATTAATGCTTAAAATAGCTGTGGTGAAGAATTGTGGGGAAAAATGTTTTAAATAAGCTGAAAAGAAATGCTTCTGAATTAAACTAGCTGTAACTTTTTTTCTTTCCTGATGATTCAGATGGGACAATGGTGAAAATGAAAAGCTTAGTCCGTGGGACATGGAACCAGTCCCTGATAATGGTAGGTGGAACCCCCCCTGAGAGACCAGTTAATGTGCTTCTCCCTTGTCAGATTATTTGTTTYCTGCAATTAATGGACCTTAAATGATTTTTATCTCTGTTGTGATCCAGATCTCCTGAGCACAATATTTGCTGTATACATGCACTTAACAGGTGGAATTGATAGGACACAGTTATCTTCAAATTGAAGAGAGTGTCAGCTACTCYGCTTGATGGGTTTTTTTCTCCCCTTTGTTAGCAGAATATCCTTTAATGTAGTCTCTCTCCCTTCTGATTTGGCAGAACACCTTGGATACCCCTATATTTTTTTTCTAAGAAGTTTGCCATCTTCCAGAACTACTTTGGAGGAGATACCCTAAATGTGTAGCTCAAGCTTATACAATAAAGGCTACTCCTTCCAAATGTAAACTTTCTTATGATCTTGTATATTATTACAATAAAAACTAAGTTGTTGTAATACAGTACGAGGAGAGCTGTATATATGATGTGCATACATAAATGAACATGCACTTGAATTATTTCCAGCCTGGAAATCCTTACTGCRTGTACTTTACAAGCTGCACTTTATAAGATTTATGGTCAAATTCAAATGAGCTGTGAATGAAACAATTAGATTCCTAGTTTGTCTGACTCAGTTCAGTTTTCTTTCACTTGCCAGTGCCTGCTGGAGGGAGGTTTGCAAAATATGGAGAGGAGGATATTCTGTCAAAGATGCTCATTTCTAGAGGTCCCTTCCAACCTTAAGGGTTCTTTGATTCTGTGATTGTCCTAATCACCTGTTAGGAGTTAGGTTGCATCCCAAACTCCAGAAGGACTTTTTTTTTTTTTTTTTAAATACTTTTCTAAATAATGTTGCACACACATGTGGATGTTCTCGGTAGCTGTGTGACTGTCTCCTCTTTGAAGCATTGACTAATTTAGTCACATCTTGAGATGAAAAATTCTGCAAAACAGCTTGAAATCAAAACGTGGCATTGTCTTTCTGTGTTTTAAGAGATGTATAAAAGTGACTGGCAGGATTTTTTATAGATTTAACTGAAATGTTCCATTGATTTTTTTCTTGTCACCACTGTGTGACCTTTTCTATTGTACAGCAGCTTCTGATCTCATTCTCTTTGTTGCCCAATTAAGACCTTTCATATGGATCCTTTGGAGACAGCTGTGTTATAGTCGGAGTGTCTGGACGAAGCCTTACACATGAACTTAAGTCATGTCTTGTTTCGTTCCTGTTTAGATTATGCTTATTAATTATCATTTCTTCCTCTGGATTGAGATGGGGAGTTTAATATTCTCAACTGCTTAAATTTGTCCATATAGCAAATCTTTTTTGTGGGTTCTAATTTTGTTATAATAGTTCTGTATATAATAATTCCATAATACTGACATCCTACAAACACGAGTTTAATTCTGCATGATATTACATRCATAAGTCATCATTTACTGACTGTGCCAGAGGCAAGTTACTACTTGCATGATTGATCTAGTAGGTTWTTCCTCTACCATGTGAAACGGTCAAGAGTTGAACCATCTGAGGAGCCATGRCTATACCAGAGGAGAATGAAGGGAAAAATAAAAAGGAAATAAAGGGTTGAAGCCTTATGCACATTCTGGGGACAAAATCGAAGGATGAGAAGAACATCCTCTGAGTTGGGTCAGGGAAAAGTCCCACACCAGGAGAAGGCACAAGGCTAGAGGAAGGAAGTAGTAAATAAAAATGCTTGACTTCCTTGTTTTCTAGTATTTTCCAGGTAAAGAATGGGCTCTCAGTTCTCTGGGGGAATAATGCTCTTAAAGAAGAAAGGTTTTATGTGTTTCTAGTATCATTATATTAATAATATACTATAAAATAGAAGTTACCCCTTCTTTTTTGCTTTCTTTGTTCAATTGAACAACTTGCAGATTAGTCTGGCAAATGCAAGGTTCAGTGTCACTCTTCTCATCCAACTCTCAAAATGTTTCTTCTGTAGAAAAGGAAGAATGTCAAAGTTGATTAAATAGCAGATCACAACTTAGTTTATTGGCCTTTCATATCCTGCAGGTGTAAATTTGTTTTCTCGGAAGCAGATGTCAGACCTGCTGTGTTAGGGACAGAGTTGTCAGGACCATAGAAGGTGATATGGATATGGACCTGAAAGTTGATTTTTCAGCRTCCTGCTTACTGAAATGTCCTGGATTGGGTTGGTGGTGTCTTTTCCAGCTACCTGTATTTGAAGCACTGTAACCCTGATGCTGAGGGYTCAGCTTTCTGTTGTGACCCTGTTTCCTCCTGGGGATTCTGGTTGTGGTGTTTGTTTCACCTCGAAGATCAGTTAGAAGGATTATCCAAATGAGAAACCTCTGCCCAATCTTTTCCTGCACCTGGAGCTTATGCGTGTTTCCAGGATYGGAGCTGCTTTATCTTCAGTCTTATTTGAGAGACTAGCAAATAATGTTAGCGCTCTGGTAGTGCAGTAGTGGGCAGAGAACTGGAAGTGATTTTGAGTCMTCAGRACTAGTCTTGATTGGTTGAAGTATKTAAAGTAGTCCTTTATTTTGTGAGCTTAAAAGATAATCATTAAAGCTTGTTTAGGTTCTTTTGACTCCGCATATTTTATAGCGTGTTTATGGAGTAGTGCGTAAAACAGACTATACTGTATAGCATGTCAGTGTATACCTACACACACACACACACACACACACACACACACACACTATATGATATAGTGTATCTATTTTAAGAATTTATTCATGGAGTGCAATCACTTCAAACACTGACAAGGACCTACCCACCACCATTTCTTGCTCTTGTTGGTAATGGCTGGACTCCTGGATGCTGCTGGGCGCTGCTGCCGCCCGCTCGTAGCCAGGAGCCCACACGCAGGCTCTTCAACGTCACCTGCCGGTTTAGCTGCCGTTTCACTTTTCCATTCTCTGCAAAGAAAGATGAATCGAGCCTGCCTGTCCACAGCATCCCATTGGGCGTCTTCACTAGCTTGTTCCTGCTGAAGTCTGCTGATTAAATTAGAGGCATAGCTTTTCAGGAATAGTACAAATGTAAAAATGGAATGTGAAGATGTCCTAAGAACAATAAATAAAAGCTTGTAGAAATATACAGGTTAGACAGCCAACTAGCATACARTACTTGCGTAAATGTTAGGCCTGGGTGCATCCTTGGATGCATTTTGTGTTTCTTTTCCCCATAGCTTTGCAATCAAACTCCACTTKATGTAAAGAAAGACTTCATTGATCGTATAAATGCTTGTGGATATAGACAATATGCCATTTTGTTGTGTGTTCTCTCCRTGCTTCCCTGTTTGCTGCCACTCTTCAGTTGATCAGCCTGAAGAATTAGGAGCCAGCGTTTCCGTGACTTTCGACGAGATGGAGAAGCTGCTCTACAAGCCCCAGGAAGGGGAGTGGGGGACGCGCTCCCGCGATGAAGCCTGCGAGCGGATCATCAGCGGCATYGATCAGCTCCTCACTCTGGGTGAGCAGATAAGCTAAGATACTGAGGGGGGTTCTTTATTTGTTTTCTCCCTTTGGCATGACRTTTTATAAACAGATCCCTGGGTCACGCCTGGTATTTTCTAAAAATGAGCTGTGATGAAGTACTGTAAACGTTACATGTTTTTATATGCAGTGTTTTCAGCGTGCCTGTACCCAGAGATTTTTGTTCTTAACCATAGTTAATTTTATCAGAAATGTTCGTGCAAATACCATGTGTAGCTTACTCGAATGTGTGTCCTTACAGGCCTTGAGTTAGTTGTTCCTCCAACGTGTGTGTATACAGACCTTTAGTTTTAATGTTGCTGTTTTGTACAGACATGTCAGCAGCCTTCGCTGGTCCCGTTGACCTGTGTACGTATCCCAAGTACTGCACTGTGATTGCTTATCCGACAGACCTGAACACTATTCGGACAAGACTGGCTAACCGATTCTACAGGTTGGTACTAACAGCAGGAAGAGCATAGAATATGGTCTTGGGCTTGTATCTTGGGAAGAGACCTAAACTCKTTTGGGAAGAAGAGCAATTAGACTGCTTATAAATCTTATGAACACCAGTGGTCTACTCTGTGAACTTAGCATTACTAGTATTTTGTAGCAGGGCTCTGACATTTGACAACTGGAATATAAATATTCCAGTATTGGCTTGTTTGGTTTCTCCTAAGGAAATTGATTTTAGGCTGTGTTGATACTGATTTTAGGGTTGTAATAAACATTGAAATTGTTTTTATGCAGAACTTGCAATTTGGAAATTAGTAAGCTTGTAATAAATGGGAAGATATTTTGATGCTAAAGCATCAGCATCATTTTGATACTGGAGATATTTTGATTCTGGATTTGAGGTGCAATATTTTGGGTACTTGCAACTCTGAGAGTTAAACTTTTAAGTACTTGTTTAGAAGTGGACTTAGAAACAGAAGTGAAATACCAACTAGGACATCAGGCATTTTAAATGAGAAAAATGTATGATAGCAAAAGAGAGGAAACTCAAATGTAGGGATAACAAAATTCTAATTTGTTGAAGGTGCTGGATATTCACAACTCTAACAGAAGTTAAAGAGTATTTATCATCTGAACTTGCATTCAGCCATTACTTAAATAAAAAGGAGACATTGATCATTGTTTTCCTCCTAAATAAAACTGGCATATTGTCTTGTGCAAAGCTTTAAACTCCTGAGGATGAGCAGTTAATATAACGCGTTTTCAAAGGATGCAGAGAGCCTGAGATCCTTAATAGTTACATTATTTAAAAGATATTTCAGAATTTAGTGGCTTCAAGTGAAAGTGCTGATTTGTTAGAGTTTTTTTAGCTGTATGAAGTATTCCTTTTGATATTACTTTGAAACCTGGTTTTGAATGCCTTGCCAGTAGGTTCATAATCATCATGAGGTTTTGCGCATAAAATAGCGGGACTTAGTGTACAGTCAGCTTGCTAAGCACACATACATACAAAATTTGATAACTCACCATTTCATCACACTGGAACAGTTCGTAACAATGCCAAATGTTTGGAATATGGAGAAATAGGTGTGTATGCATGTCCTTTTCTTCTTTCCCTATTTTTCATCTGCATGCTTATTTTTAAATACGGGATGTTATTGAAAAGTTTGAGCCTGGTCTAGTGAAGCTTCACTTGAAATGAAGGGCATTTCATCCCACTGCAATGTGGAAAGATAATTACTTTCTGCAATTTCTTGCCATTTTAGCATAATACTAAGCGTGCAGTGTTTTTGATTTTTAAGGAGAATCTCTGCATTGGTTTGGGAAGTAAGATACATTGAAAGCAACGCCAGGACTTTCAATGAACCTGGGAGTGCTATTGCTAGAGCTGCAAAGAAGATCACTACACAACTCCTGAAGTTTATCAAGTAAGCATTGTTTTATTCTTAATAATACTTGCATGCAGATGCCCTTATATATTGAGGAAATGAGGGATATAAACATTTAGTTGTGTATCTTTTAAAGTTTCTTACACTGCAATCACTGTCTTGAATATTGAAATGAAAAAAATTGGGTATTGGAAATGCCAGAGGAATGCCCTCATGTTCAGGGCAGAGACAAAATTGCCTAGGACTTACAGTGTGAAAACCCCACTGGACTGTAAATAGTGCACCCTGTGAAGCAAGCTCTGTGCTAYCTAGTACACGTGTAGCACTGCCTGCTATGTTAGGCTTCATCCACTATAGTGGAGAAGTTTRTGCTGGAAGCAGTTAGTCTTGCAGGTGGATTCAGGTTTGAAGACCCCTTTCAAATCCCTAGTGCTAATTTAACCCTCCTTCAGCTCCTCCTGAAATGCACATCATAGCAGTTTTCCAAATTTAAAATGTCTCTCAGTATTTTGATCAACTTGTGATTTGTTTCTAACTTTTAGTTACTGTCTTTCAGTGTATTTCTAGTTTTAGTTACAGTAGGACTTACTGTAGAAGGCAATAGCTTTTCTGGTAACTCACCTTTAATTGTATTACAGTGATCAGGATTGTACAAATATCTTTGAATTATGTAGCACAACAGATGATGAGAAAGATGATGCTGATGATCTGGTAAGGGTTTTCTGTTTTTGTATTTTAGTAAATAATTGGAATGGTGTATTAGCAATGATAGGGAARTACCATTTACTGGTGGTAAAATTGCCCAGTTGTTTTCACACAAGTGTTTTTCTGTATATTTATATATTTACAAGATAAAGCTAATGCACAGCTTTATGCATCTGATTTGAGATATACATTAATGAAAGCATTTGGTGCTGTCATTACATGTACAGTAGTATAACAAATACGTTATTTTGTATGGCATGAAATAAAACATCTTCCTCCCATGTTTTGTGAGTGACATTGTATTTCTGAACATATTAACGTGCAATAATGTAGTGGGTACATAAAGAAATAGCTACCTATTTGAATAGAAGGACTATTTGTTCCACATAGAGCTATCTTTCACTGTGTTTGTTAATTACTTAAGGCACCTCTGAGGCCAAAATAGTCCTTCCTAATACAGCATTAACTGTGGAAAGCTGACATGGTGTATAGCAGGAGTGCTGCATTGGTTCTCACTTTCTCTGTGCACCATGTTGAAGTAAACATAGGATTTTTTTTTGCTGTTTGGAGATTTTTTTATGGAGATTTTAATGAAGTGCATTGGTATTAAATCTCATAGAGGTAGTAATATTATTGTGTACTGGTGTGTTGTGGTGTTACGTGGGAGAGTGCGTAGGTACCTGCGGTATTAACTATTAACAACGTACTCCAAGCTTTCCAAACTGATGTCTTTTTTCACATTTTGATGTCTAATTTAGCATTTATTCACAAGACTTCAGAAGACTGCAAAGTCATTGGCCTCTCTTGCAGCGTAATACTTAGGAAAAGAAAGAGTCCTTTTATTCCTGCATCTCACTACTTTAGCATCAGCTCYCTAATGGCTGCATAATAATGTGTTTTAGAAGCTTGCAAAAGTAACTTGAGCATAAGATGGCCTTTCCCAAACTCAGGACAACAAGGACTCAAAGTTTTATGACTTCTGCTGTGAATTGCTGATGAACTTGAGTCATTGAGATTGAAAGCTGGTAGAAACACTGCTCTGCCATTGAAATTAGGATGCTTTTAAATGTTTAATGGGGTTGCAGGAGCCAAATATTGGATGGTGCAAAAGCAGTGCTCTGGGTAACTTCTCATTGCAAATTTTAGTAGTGTTATCTCTTGTATTAAAGACAAGAGTGAGAGCCAGGAGTGTTCAGTGTTACCTGTTTGGGATCTTTCCAAGACAGTCAAAGGGTGTTTCTGTCTTGTCAAAAAAAAAAATTTTTAAAACTACTTTTACTACAATACAAAATATAATGAAACTTCGTACACCCACAGGCCACTTAATTTCATTCCTGTTTTTGAAAACACTTGATTTTGTTTTGTGCAGGATGATGAGAAATGTCTTCCGAGAACTTCCTATAGAAGAAGAAAGGTAAGTTGGGTCATCGTTATCTTCCTTATTCAGATCAGGTCTAGGAGGAAAAAACRACGAGTGGACAGGATTGGAATTCATGGGAGTGGGGCTTTCATTTATAACAGTCACAGATGATTCAGAACTCTTCGGATGTCAATAAAGAAATAAATGTTTGCCTAGGTAGTTATTTTAACACTTTTACTGTATAGTTGTCCAGCAAAACTTTGTTGCTGAATTTATAAATAGTGTTCTTTGCAAGTACTTTCATTTGTATGACACTGAAATAAAAAACATTGCTTCCTGCTTAAAAAATYAGAATAACAGATATTCTGCTTTTTAAGAATAGTTCTGAAGTAATTCTACTCWTAAAAGAGTAATTCTCAACAGCAATTCTGCTATTTTAAGAGYAGTTCTTAATGCTGGTTTAAGAGTAGTTAATTAAGTAATTTTAATTAAGTAATTACTCCTAAAAAAATTAGGAGGTAGGTACCTTGGTTATTTTATATAAATAAATCATTTATATGATTTTTTTACATCAATCTATATAAACAAAAAGTTACTCTTTGTCAGATCTGTTGATGCAGCCTAGAGAAAAAAAATTCTGCTAGCAGTATACATTGACTTTTTGTTATGAAACCTTATGCTTGAAAGCTTATTTTTTGACACAGAAATCGTTACGATTACATTTTTAGAATTAGTCTTTCCATTAATAAAATTAATAATGCCTCTTTTTTTTTTAAGGGAAGAGCTGTAAAAAGAGGAAAAAGTGTGAAAACTGGCTATGATGAAAATAGCTGGAAGAAACAGTGCATGGAACTAGTGAACCTAATTTTCCAGTGTGAAGATTCTGAACCTTTCAGGCAACCAGTTGATTTGGATCAGTATCCTGTAAGTTTTTCCTGTTGATGTYGAAAGATAATTGTAGTGTTTGGTTTTTCTCTTAACTTGTGGTTCCATAAGAAGATCTTCACGTTGCTCCTGGATTGTTGTAACAACTTTAGTCTAGAGCCATTCAGAGGAATTCCAAGTTCATACTTCTAAGCACACGGCAATATACTCTAGTAAGATACAGTCCATCAAATTATTAGCAACAATTTGCAAACAAAACAAATGGTAGGAACAAGAAATGCTGTGTTACCCTAAATAAACTTGAAATTTCTCTCCCACAGTCTGTTAACTTTGAACATTAGAATGACTGCTTTCTCTTGAACTGATCCCAGTTAAAACTGAACTTTCCTGAATTCCCAGGACTGTTTTTTTTTCTGACTGTCACATCTGGCATTGTCTTTTCTACTCGCGCACTGAGTATTTTGAGGGATCTGCCCACTCTTTGAAGTTGCACATAGAATATAGGTCTTGGTTGAAATGTACCTCTGAAGTATATGAAGTGTAGGTTTTATGGCTTCATTCATCCTGGTGTTTTTTTCCTTCTCTTCCTGAATTTTCTGTAAAATGTATTTCAAGACATCTTACTGCCTTGGCTATCAGTTCCACTTTGTATCATTCAGATGTCTTGCTGCTTTTTCCACAGGCTTTCTGCAGCTTTGCCATGCCTCTTTAGGAACTTACCCTAATATGAGGAGTCATTTGTCATTTCTCCAAAATGTATCCTCCTTTTTTCCAGTACTGAGTTCACACTTTTTTCTTCTTCTTTCCTGCTATCTTTTATATGAAAGTCAGTTTAGATAAATCTGCACATTCTTCATTACAACTTGCTGCTTTGGGCTTCTAGAAAGAAAATCTGTTGAGTCTGAGCAATAAGCTTGGTCTTTTCCTTCTCTTAACAGCTTATGGTATTCTTGCTATCTCTGTCTCTGTTGTTTTAACAACCCAATAAACTCTCAAGGGAAGAAAGTGTTTTTATAACCAGGCAGTGTTTTCTTCGGAGCTTCATATCTGGAGTTTGAGACCCTTTGGGTTTGAGGAACACTTCAGGCTTCTCTAAAACTCCATGTTTACAAGGAGGACAACAAATAGAGATTTGGCTAGGGAGGGAAAGGGTGTTTGTGTGTTAACCCAATCCAGTTTATTTCTCACCGCAGAAATGCATTAGTGAAAGGATTGCACAAAGACTTGGCACAGCCATGTTTCACATCTTGATAACAAAATAGTTTGCTTTCATGTTATTGTTACTGGGTAGCTCTTCTTCTTTGAAAATCCACTGATGGAAAAAAACTTGAAAATGAGCAAGAGCAAAAAAAAAACAGTTTCTCTGAAAGCTAAGCTTGTCTACTCTGCTGCGTGCTGCTCTCTTCAGGTGGTGGTAAAGATGACCACTGTACCTCACCTTGAAATGACAAAATAATTCTAATAATTATAAGCTGGTTTGTTGTCTTTTATACCTTATTGAGTTACTTATGTTCTCTCTCTGTTTTCGTATCTTTAGGACTATAGACATATTATAGACACTCCAATGGACTTTGGCACAGTGAAAGAAACACTGGAAGCTGGAAATTACGACACTCCAATGGAACTGTGCAAAGATATAAGGCTAATATTTAGTAATGCTAAATCTTACACTCCAAACAAAAAATCAAAGGTAGCTGTTTGGGGTTTTTTTTCTTGTCATAACAACATTAGTGTTTATTTTCGAATAGGTTTATTAATTAGTATCTATTGATAAAATTTCTGTTTGGGTAGATGGTGGGGGGAAATGCAACAAAAATATTAAATATATTCATACATCTTCTTTATGTAGTACTACAGAGTGTCGCTTTGCCATATTTTTTTCTAGCTAATGCATTTCTGTACAGTATTTAACTTTAGAAATATTTTTCATGGATAAAATGTTCTGTTTTTCAATATATAATCTTTTTTATTTAGATTTATAGTATGACCCTGAGATTGTCGGCACTGTTTGAAGAGAAAATTAGAAGAATTGTTTCAGATTTTAAAAATGGCCAGAAGCAGAATGAAACATTACGCAAAAAACGAAGATATACTAGAAGAATTTTGAGTCAAAGCTCAGTGCAGACTCCTACCAAAACGCTTAGGTAACTAAATGAGTTAAAAACATGTTGAGATTTATCAGTGTCTAGTATCTGTGTGCCATGACATAGTCTTGGAAAATTACATCCATTGATTTATTAAATGTTGGATGGATAGCAAACTGTAGTGAGATGTATTTAGAATTATCTATCTTGCAGCAGAATAGACATGCTTAGGAAAAAGCTATTTTTWATACTGTAGGATGGGTTGTAAACTACTGAAGGTAGAATAGGTTTGTGGGATTTTTTTGTGTTTTTGTTTGATTTTAATACATTGGGAGTCGGACTTCAATTGAAAATGCATCAGGAACATCTTAATACACAGAAGAAATTCAGTCCAGTGTGAGATTCTGACATGATTACTTAGTGACATAATTCCATGTGTTCTTCCATTCTTCCCCATCTATCTGTGAAGTGAGACAAAACGCACAAAGCTAAGCGTGGTGTACGGTGGGAACTTAACATTTCTCTTTTTTGCTGTTATCCAGCCCTTTTGACGGGCAGTGGAAGGACAGAATAAGAGGTCTAAGAATAACATGTTACGAAAAGCTTTTTTTGCAGTATGTGACTGTGTTCTCTCACAGTTCTAAAGAGTAGTGGGTTACTCTTGTATTTTCAGTCTTTAATGAGAATGTTGGATGATGCCATATGCACGTTCTTGGGATGGATGCCTAGAGCGTTTAGGAGTATTCCTAGAGTTTGTAGTTCTTCCCAGGGAAGCAGTTTCATGAATGCAGTGGAGAATCACATTAGGATAGGCAGGAACTCCTCCTCAAATGGGTGCTTATGTTTTCACCAAAAGACTGTGATGTGCCTTGTTTACAGCTCAGTGGTGAGCAGCTGTAAGGAAGTTTAGGGATGTTTGGGGGGAGCATTTCACCGTTAAGACATGATGCAGGAAGTGCATACATGTGCATCTAGAAAAATATCTGAAAGCCTATGAGTAAAAGGAAACAAAATAGTAGTTGTAAATGTGTGTGTGTGTGTGTGTGTGTGTGTGTGTGTGTGTGTGTGTTTTAAGTGACTTTTGGGTGCTTGGTGGCCTCTGAATTGCCTGTGTCTTATGTATGTCCCTTTTCCACTTCCCCTAATTTTTTGCTTGTAGTCAGCTAGAACATCTGGACTGTGGTGAAGGTTGGGGTTTTTTTTTTTTTTAGAATTGCATCAGTGGTTTTCTACTACAAATAAGCACTTTATTTTACACAGTAAAACCATCCCCCAAAGATGCACTTTCTTGGTGCCTTTCTTTGGAGCTCAGGTTGTCACAGAATAATGGCTGTGTGAAGAGCGCTTTGCATGAGGTGTAGGTGTGATTCACCAGACTCTGGCTGCAGAGATCAGCACCCGTTGCTGCAGCTTGCTCTTAATAAGAAGATATTAAAACTTTCGTAGGAGTGCAGACTTTTTTCTACTGAAACTAGTTATTGCTTATCAAAATTAAAATTGCCCCACACCTTGTTAGGTCACAAATCTAAATACACTTCCCATAAATCCAAACCAACCAAATGCTATATGATTTAAACTCCYGGAGAAAGAATGATTGTCAGAATACTTGTATATTTTTGACAGTTTTACAACCTATGTTGCTTTTCCCTCTTTCTCCTTCCACTAGAAATTTGAAGCAGAAACCGTTGAAATCTCAGGCAAAAGTGGAATCTGAGCAGGAAGATGCCTCAGCTCTACCTACCTCAAGCAGAGCGGCGGGTGTGACGAGCCACAAAGGGAACGCTGGCAGTTACGCCCGCAGTTCCTCGGGGGAATCCTCTGATGGCGCCGGCCCGGCCGCCTTCGAAAGGAACGGCAAGGCGCGGGCGGCCGCGCTCACCAACTGCTCTGCCTTGTCGTCGGGTAAGGGCTGGAGTCTGCTTCCCATGGGTGTTTTTATCCTGGCCGTAGCCATGAAGCTTGCTAAGGTTTACTTGGTAATCACTAGGAAGGTTTTTTATTATTATTATTTCTGTGCACTTCGTGTTTTGACCAATATTGAATTTTGAATATTGTGTGTTCTGTTGAATTTTAAATTATACGTTTGCAATTTATACGTTATTGAAGATACATGTACTAAATACAGAATTTTCTGCTTTAAAATCATGCCAGAAGCCTTTGTCAGGTTAATCAGCTCTTTTATTAACAAAAAGGAGAAATTAGGATACTCAGAGGCAGAGCTGTCTTGGTTACGTACTGTGGTCTCACAGATGGTAATTTTAGCCACTTTGTATAGGGCTTCCCTGAAAAGCTCAATTGACTGAGACTGAGGAAAAAATGATGCTCTTAAATCTCCTACCAGTTTCAGTAACACAATTTCTACATTTCAGACAGCTGTTTTGGGGAAATGGTTGGGCTGAGTGGCTGCCTCTTACTAAAGAGGAAAATGTGAGCTAGTGGATAAACGGTGTTATTTRAAGTACAGGTCCTATCTCTGCATATTGTATTTAAAAGTTAATACCCCAAACTAGTAAAGGGCAAAATATAAATTTTTGGAGGAACAGCAGCCTTAGTCTCTGGCCATTCTCCTCCTGTCCCACACAAAAATACTAGCTTCCTTCCAAGAGTAAGGGTGCACGTCCTGCTAAGAGATGCATGAGAACAGCTGTGTTAATTTAGTTGGAAAAAAGTACAGCTTGAAGGACCTACGTAGCATAGAAAACGTTAGAAATGTTTAAGTGCTATAATCTGCAAGTACAGTTTATCAATTTCATGTTTATATTGGAAATCAAGGCATGATAAAACAGTGCACTGTAAAATAAATATTAAGTATCAATAAATTTTGAGACTTCTTAGATAAGTAAACAGTGCATCTTAATTGGAGTTTAACTGTATGTTTAGATTTCTAATTGATTTTTTTTAACAGAAAGTGAGATAGAAGGTTCTTTGGGTTCTTCCTCGTCTTCATCCTCTACCAGTAGCTCAGAAGACAGTAAAGAAAGTGCTCCTGCTCTTATATCACCCCCACAGCAAAATGGACTATCTAGAAGAAAGAACAACAATTTCAGGATAACTAGAAATCGAGCTGCTCAAAGAAAACAGATAGGTAAGATTTGACTACTTTTSCTGTCAACAGCCACTGACACAAGGGAAACATTGTTGATAAAAGGTAGTGCTAGTTCTGCTAGTTCTGTAGCTCACAAAATTACTACTCTTTGAATTTTTGAAAGTACTAGTATTGGTACTCAGCATGAGACAAACAGTCTGCGTGGAATGACCTTGCAARATTTTAATAGAAGTAAAAATAATTCATAGGGAAGCTTCACTTTTCACAAAACTAGAATAAATTCAAAATCTATGATGCAGAATAGTATCTCTTCCTGCCAGATTATAAGAACACATAGCTGTTACTAAATGTATATTTCATTAATCATGTATTTGGATTTAGCTTGTTTGGGCAAGAGATAAGAAGTATCTATTTCTGTATTTAAGGCCTTTATCGCTCCGTTACTTTCCAGGAACCATTCCACAGGAGAATGGGAATACAAGAAGAACTGCCAGGAAAAGGTTATATGGAAGTGACTCTGAAAACACTTCAGTGGTGACGCCCGAGTCGCCGAGTAATAATACTGGTCGACACAGGAAAACTCCCCGCAGAAGCGCTGCTCTGGCTGCCAATAAACTGAAGCTAATGAGCGACGTGGAGGAAGAGGTGTCGAGCTCGGAGAGCATCGGCATCGGCTGCAAGAACCGAAAGCTGCCSCACCGCAGCGCCTCGGCCGCGGCCCGGAGGATGCTGCTCGACGGCTCCGAGGACGACGTCGGGCTGAAATCGGAAAGTGAAAAGGAAGGAGAAGAGAAGTTTACCAAGAGGAAAGCGGTGTCGCAGCCAGGTTCGTGTGCCGCAAGAAGGAAGTTCATTAGCGAATCTGAAAATGCGACGTCGGATTCGGAGGCGGACACACAAGCGAGGCAGAAAAACTGGCAAAGCAACGGCCATAAACAGCCGCGGGGCAGAGCCCGTTCTGCGTCTCCCGAGGCAGACAGCCCCACGCGAGGACTGTCGGAGGAGGACTCCAAAAGCCATAACTCRGAGGATGGGAGCAGCCAGAAAGCTTCTGACCAGTCAACCTCTGCGCGTAAGCCTGCAATGAGCAACTCTGAGGATGAGGCCGATTCTGAATCGGAGAAGTGGAGCGGTAGAAAAATGACTGGTCAGCATCTCGTTGCTCCTTTGAAGAAGACAAAAGTCTTGAGTGATCTAGAGGACAGTGCAGAATCTGACAGAGAAGACAAAAAGGATGGGAGAGGTTTTGTTTCGGAGAGCTTGGTGCCATCTAGAATTGCAGAGAGTTCAAAATCTGGAGCTGATACCACCTTAAATTGCTTTTCTGATACAGAATTGGAAACAGATTCCAATAACAGTAATTGTGGCACTTTAAAGACAAGGAGGAGGAAAAGAAAAGGAAAAACAAAACTCATTAGAAAAGGTAAAATTTTTAAAGTTGCTAAATATACTTGTGATTCTGGCTAGGTGGAGGAAGCAACACAATATTAATATAGATCGTGCCAGGGAGGATTTAGACTATGCCAAGTGTAACAGTATTCCCAAAGGTTCTAAAATCTGAACTAGAAATCAAGGAAGGAGAGTTGCAAGGTTCAGTGATAACTGCCTAAAAGTCTAGACTGTTTTTTAAACTGGAGGTGACTGAGCACAGCATTGAGAGAAAACTATTCCAGTTCTGTGGTAATATTACGTAGAATTCATGATGAGTGCTGATTGTTCTAGTCATACAATTCAGGTAACATTTATTTTTCTATTAATTGTCAATTATGGATCTTAATTGAATTTGTGCTTGCTTATCTATATAGCAGTTTATTGCAACGAGTGCTAAAATACCTTTTTGGAAGTAATGCCACCCTGTGTAATAACCATTAAAAGTAAGAGAAAAATTGAGTTGCACAATAGCAAGCAAATAGGAAGGCTGCTGCGCCGGAGTTGTGTGATAGGCAGTCAAGATAGCAGGAAATCTCCAAAGGAGGAGCCTGTTCTCCTTTGGCCTGCTCCTTCAGAACTTCAGGGAGGGAAAACTTCTGGATTGAGGTTCTCTTAGCTTGAGTTGGAGGGTAAAGTATGAGTTCAGTTTATCTTTTTTCAGCCAGCAACCTTGGTGCTAACACAGACCGAGAGTAACAGCCATTAGTTTCAACTGAAGCAACTTCTTTGTGGTGTTTGAAAGACATATTAATGTTTTTAACTTCCCCACTGTGCACTGGAACCTGTAATTTGATTTGACTTTTGAATTTCACTCTCAGTGATACGTAGTGTCGCTTGGGGGTTTGTAAAAAATCGCAGAATAACAGAGTCATAGAACGTTTAAGGTTGGAAGGGATCCCTAGAGATCATGTAGTCCAATCCTCCTGCTCCAGCAGGGACACCCAGAGCACGGGGCACAGGGCGGCATCCAGGCGGGTTGGGAAGATCTCCAGAGAAGGAGACTCCACAGCYTCCCTGGGCAGCCTGTGCCAGGGCTCTGGCACCCTCACAGGGAAGAAGTTCCTCCTCACATGCAGATGGAACTGCCTGTGTTGCAGCTTACACCCATTGCCCCTTGTCCTATCGCTGGCCACCAATGAAAAGAACTTGTCCCCTTCCTCCCTACATTCTCCCTTCACGAACGTATACACGTTAATCATATCCCCTCTGAGCCGTCTCTTCTCCAGAGAAAACAGGCCCAGCTCACTCAGCCTCTCTTCGTATGAGAGATGTTCCATTCCCTTAATCATCTTAGTTGCTCTTCTCTGGACCCTCTCTAGAAGCTCCACGTCCCTCTTATACTGGGGAGCCCAAAAAATGGTCTTTTAAAAATGCTGTTAATCAAATGAAGGGGACTCATTTAAGAATGATAAAAGTACAGCAGCTATGGGGCAAGAGTGAGTGTTGCTGAATTCCCCAAAGGCCATGAGTATGCTCTTTGAGAGTTAGTAAGGAAAAAGTACAGTARTGAATACTTGCCTTGTTGGGGTCTCGTTTCAGTCATCTGCAAAGATGAGGCCTCTGTGCACTCTTTTTAAAAAAAGTTAACATAATGTTTCCAATATGTTCATAACTCGTGGGCTTGGAGATACAGGGCCAAGTGTGAGACCTGCCTTCATGGRAAAGGGAAATAGGTAATTTCCCTATGTAGTGTCCTTGCAGGCAAAGTCTCTGGCATTTATAGCTTGCTTGCCTTTCTGTGAGCTGTTCTGCACACTGTTTCACTGAAATATTGGTTGGCCATTATCACAATTGTCTTGGAAAATATTTATGCTAAAATTGAAAGTGTTTATTTTCAGCTTTAATCTTTGAAATCTTTAGTTTAATTTGGGATGTTACTGAAAATAATCTAATACAGGTGCCTTCTCTAGCTCATTTTATTCCTCAGCAGACAGCTGATTTGCTGTTTGCTGGAGAAGCTGAAAGTTATCAGTAAATAGGAAGCCAAGCAATTAGTACTTCTAAAAGGATGTCTGCTGCTGCTGCTGGATATATTTCTGCTTTTGTTTAAAAAAAAAAAAAAGGCAAAGTTTCCACATAAATGGAATAGTTGGTGAACTGGGCGTGGAAAACACTTTGTGGACTAGAATATGAGCTGCAGGTAAGCTGACGTGGGAAGAGGCCTGGGTGTTCCTACCAGTCTTGCAGCCTGGGCTTTCAGGTTTAGCTTTGGGCATTGCAGAGTTTSCTCAGGCACATGCAAATTGGGGGGGGTGTTACTGTGGCATGCAGGAATGCTTACTGAGGGATTCCAGGGTTGATTGTAATCCTGGTAAGAAGCCTGAATTAAAAATTAAGATGAGCCTTGCGCATAATTGTTTGCATAAGTGAAGTGRCCAAAGTGAAGGCTTTGGTCTTCAGTAGACTGTCAGGCTGCTTTTATGCTTGAGCCTTGCAGTCCGTCCTCATAGTTAGCTGCTGAAGCGCTAAAAATAAGTGTCATCTGTGGTGATGGCCAAGCATTTTTCTTTAAGAGCACTTAACCGTTATATGTAAGCACCTAAACGTCAGTCTCAAGGGAGTCGGAGCTTGTGGGCGTTCTTTCTTTTTTGCTGATTTTTACTGGAGTAAAACCCCAAACTCGAGGGACACTACTGGGGGTGGTTGTTTCCTCCAGTGGCCAGTGATGACCGTGTTAGTGCTCAGTGTTAAGGCTGGGAGGAAAGGAGTGAGGAGCCAAAGGGCCCTTTCCCGTTCTGGGTAGTTGTCTTTCTCGAGGCTTTGGGGTTTTGGGTTCAGCAGCAGTTTGAACAATTTAAACAAAATGAGCAGGATAACTTTGTGCCTGCAAGAAAGGAGTGAAGGACTCTATCCTTTTAAGCCTGCATTGCAATTGTGTGCTTTGTTTCTCTAAGCTTTTAAATTAAAAAGGTATTTAGCTGCCTTTCTGTGAAATAACATATAGTAACGGCCATTATTTTCCCCTTGTTTCTGAGTGTAGGTAAATCAGTAAAGCTAACAAGCTTCAGCTGGAACAAAATTTATTATTACAACATATAAGGAAGAGTTAATAGATTAATGCTTTGATTATATTAGTGAATGCTTTCATGGAAGAAGTGCTTTTTATTTTTAAATCACTTTTATACTGATTAATTTATTTCAAGAACTTAAAATTTAAGCAAAATCTATTAGTAATTCTGTGACTTAACAGGCAAAGGTTGAATTCACTTGTTTTGGTAACATCATTCGTGTTATTTACAAACTGAATACTTGCTTTAAAACCCAACATAAGAAACAATTGTTGTGTTAGAAATACCGAGTGGAACATCCTCTCTAATGAAGCAATCTTATTGCTTAAGCCACTAACTAAAGAACTGAATGGTTTACATGTTCACTGTGTATATGAAAACTTACATGATAGTGAAATCCATCCAATGCTTGTGTTTGCATAAGGTGTTACCATCCGATTTTTAGAATAAAGGAAGTGTGGTAATTTATTTTGAAAAGACATGTTAGGAAGAAAATGACGGCTTTAACAACGGAAGTATTAATAACATTAAAGCATTTGTTTGCAGAGTTAAGTAAATTGTTGTTTGGAAATGAATACTAGAGTAACAGTAAAAGAAATGTTATGCTTTCACCCTCACAGCAGTTAACTCRCAGCAGTGCAATAATGCTGAGAAGTGTTGAGAGGCAAAATGCCTTGCACTCATTCTGAACTTTATTAATAAAGGCTTAAGGTAAATTGCATATACTGTTGGGATTGAGAAACGTTTCTATGTGTATTACTAAAGGCAGCCATGTCTGTGCTTAACCCGTTTTTCTACACCCCACCCCACCCCCCAAAATGTAAGCTTTTTTAACTTTGAAATCTTTCTTTTATAGACTCACCATCTGAGGAAGTTGGTCCAAGCGGAAAAGTGCTCAGGAGCAGGACATGTATAATTAACTACAAGAAACACATAAAGCTGTCAAATACGACAGAGAGGAAGAATCCACGCAGATGTGCTACTCTGGCAGCTAATAAGATTAAGATAATGAGTGATACGAAGGAGGAATTGTCGAGCTCAGAGAGCGTTTGCACAGGAAAAAAGAGCAGAAGGCAGCTTCACGGCAGTGGCTCGGCATTGTCCAGGAAAAAAATGATCAGCAGCTCAGAGGTAGATGTTAGTTTAAAGTCTGAAAGTGAGAAAGAGCAGTTTGCTGGCAGGAAAAGACTTTCTTGCTCTAATTCTGCATTTAAAAGAAAGTATATTAGTGAATCTGAAAATGAAAAAACAGATTCTGAGGCAGAGGTAGAAGTGACTCAAAAGCAGAGTGACGATGACCACAAGCAGCCACATGGAGCCGACCCTGCTGCATCTCTTAAAAATGCCATATATGACTTTTCAGAAGAGAATTCCAGAAACCACAGCATGGAAAATGGGCAAAATTGGAAAAGTTCTAGTCGGTCAACTTCATCCCACAACCATTGTATAGCCAGCAACTCTGAAGAGGAGGCAAATTCCGAGGTAGCCAAACATGAAGCTAAAAATGCCAGAGGAGTGTCAAATAAAAAGTCTAGAACTACTTTCAAAAGAGCAAAATTACTGAATGATGTAAAAGAAGCAGCTGAATCTGAAGCAGCGGGAGGGAAAGATGAGAGGAGCTCAGTATCAGAGAATGTGGAAACACGCGGGGCTGCAGGAAGTTCAAAAGCCGGTTTCAATTGTTCTTCTGATTCAGACTCTGGCACTGATAACAATAACTCTAGTGATGCCACAGAAACAAAGAAGAGGAAAAGGAAAGCAGAGGTCAGTAGGAAAGAAATCTCAAACTCCAGTTTGCCTTCCAGAAGACCCCAACGAAGGAAACGTTGTAAACTTAATCAAGAAAATGACTCGGAAGATCTGGATTTCACCAAGTACAGAAGAGCCAATCGGCGTTCTAAGATAAGAACTCGGAATGGGGGGAGACGGACTGTGAGATACGACGATTGCGATGAAGACGACGATGACAGAGGTTTAGATGATGTAGATTGTGAAACGTAACCTTAAAAAGAAAAGCCAGCACACACTTTTTTTTTTTTTTTTTATGGTAATAGCACTAGAACTCATGATGGATGCTGGCTCTTCTTTGTCCTACATTTCAGGGAATATATTTATATTTTTCTATGAAAAAGTTATGAATGTGATTAGATCATGACTTTCTCCTTTTCATATTTTGACTTGCACTTGCCTGCCCATGTAGCAGCATTTAGCACAGATGCCAAAATGTGCCTCATTATAGGGGCAATTTTTTGTCTTTACTGGTATTTTATTACATATAACAAGAGTTAAAAATGTTAAAACACTGCACAACAGGTTAATAGCAGTATGTTGAGTATTATTGTTATGGGTGCTGCAATGGAATACTACCTAGGTCATACAACATTAACACAGTGAAGAACAGATTTCAAACATCTCTAATGCTGTATGAAATCATATACAATAGTAACAGGCTTATAAATAATACCGTACACTATAAGAATCTGTTGGATGCTAATATTGCATTAGAGGAGTCATGAATGGCCACTAGGTTAACAACTTTACGGCTTGTATTAGTACAGATGTTAAATGTTCTGTACTTCCATTATGGAAAACATACAACTAGAACCAGTTACCAGTGAAAAACATATTTGGCAGTTAAAAAAGCATTATGGTGCTGGTGAAGAGAGGGTTTATGCTGACAGGTAGTACTATCATCATTAATGTGACTTCTATACTGTAAATTTAATAATATGAAATGCAGGTGAACTCTTGGGCCTAAGGGTTTTTGTGTGTTTTCTTTATAAAATAGAAAAACAAACAAAACACTTGTTCTGTTTTCTTTAATGCGTGAAATGGTTGAGGTTCAGAATTGTTACATTCCAGACCTTTTTTGCTATTTCTTCATTGTTCTTCCATTATTTAAATTGAAGTGCTTTAATATTAGACTGCTGCATTGATTAAACCTTACCCGTTTCTGACTATTCTAGTACCTCATCTACTAGTTTTGGGAATGCTGAAGACTGCTGTTGTTGACAACAAATAATTATTGCGTAGAAGTAATTCTCCTGCTAAAATATGTAAATTCTTGGATGGCCATGTATCAGATACGAGGATTTGACCTAATTTGACTTTCAGCTCTTCCTTGAGACGTGCTTTCCAGTAGCGAACTGGTCGAGGAGCAGCTTTTCAATTCCCCTTGGCGAGCAGAAAACCTGCTGCAGTAGCTGTAGCTGCTTTACTGGCTTGATGACCTGTACTCAGCGGAGCTGTGCTGGCTGGAGCTGTAAGGTTACTGCCTTTCACCCAATTCCTGCGCCTTTCCCACTCTCCGCTGTGGTTTTCCTGCCTCTGCTTTGCTGTGTCGGTTTCTCCCATGGTTGTGATTCTCATCKCTGTTCAGTAGGCAGGAGATGTGCTTGTATAATTCTCCTAACCCAGTTCATTTTAACCAAAATAGCAAGCTTGTGAGTTAGTTTTAACACCTGGATGGGAAAAYTTTGAAAAACTGTAAGCAGCACAGCTGTGTAACGAGGCCCTCATGGTATCAGTGCTGCTTACAGGAATGGAAGTGAAGTAACAGAGAATGGAGTCCCGCTGCCTGCCAGCAGATAGTGAAAACCACTTCTACAATGAGTTWGCTGACAATGTGCCAAAATGTGCATCAGCCATCACAACATTTTGGTATCCAGAATGGTGTCTCAGTATAGAGAAATAGCTTTTTTTTTTTTCCTCTTTCTGTTTTTTTCCCCTCCTCTCTTCCTTAAGACTTCTTTGTGAAGTCCAATAAAACTAGTTTATACCRTTCTTGTCCCAGGAGCGCCTTTGTTTTTCATTAGAGCATAGTCYTTAATATAATGGTAGAATTTTATAAATTCGAAGTATATGTTTGTCTGAATTCTTTAAGCTGGTTTCTACAATGTGAAAACAGTTGTGTTTAGCAATGAAGTTTTGCTGTTCAAAGTGGCTTTTTGCATCCTACCTTTTAGGAGCATCTTTGTTAAAAGAGAATAATAAGAAAACTAGTGTTTTTACATTATCCATAAATGGAATGCATTGTTCAGCAGCTGCTTATTAGCAGTGGTACATGAAGTGTAATGCCTGATAGAGATGTAAAAAAAAAAAAAAAAGGCATTTATATTGCTTGTGAGCTTCAGAATATTTATCAATAGGAGGTTTAAACGGCTAAAATTGGGCCAGCAGGTTTGTGCTTCCAACTCAGGATTAGTTTTAAAAGATTTTTTTCTTTCTCTTCTTTTTTTCAGGTGTTGTTTTTTTTTTATTGTTCATCTCTTACATGTCCATGATGCTCCTAGAAAGTTGGGTGTAGGTTGGCCACTCTGTTTGCATATCTGAGAGGGAATTACTGGCTTATGGACCATAATGCTGCACTTTTTTTTTTTTTTTTTAACAGCTAAGCAATGCTATTTCAAATGCTATTTTGTATTTTATTTTATTCGTATGGACAGGCTGCCGAGAGCTGGAAGATGAATACTTGAAAAGTAAATTTTTTTTCTTAACTTTTCAACCCTAAAAAGGAATGTGTCTTTTCTTTTAAAGCAAGTGCGCTTACTGTCATCACAGCTTGCAATTTTTAGGCCTTGCAGAAAGCCATTCTTTGCCCTTGCTGGTAGTTTTAATTATTCAGCACTTTTCATTTGTTCTAGCTGTACTCAGGGAAGTAAAGTTATCGAATAAATCTTTTTTGAGGAAAAGTAATACTTTTATKTGAAGTTGATATAAGGAGTTCTTGTTTGTTTTTGAAGCGGGATGTGAATCTGACATAGGGAATAGTCTCACACGTGGCATGAACAGAGGAAAACAGTGTAGATGCAGGACAAAGCATTGGAGATTGGACTCCTGCATAGTCTTGAAACCTCCATTGTGCTGTATGCTTAGGAGCAGAGCCAGGCTCTAAGGACAAGCATAACCTCCCTGTACTAGTTGGCAAGTGTCTGGTGCGTTTGGCCTTGCTCTGTCCGCTCCTGGTGCCGCCTCACGGCCTCGGCGGCGCGCGGCACGGCGCTAACGGCTCCCAACGGTTTCCCAACGGCTCCCTAACGGCTGCCCAGGGCCCCGCGCGCGGCGGCCTGGCTGCGTGGTGCGCAGGGGCGGGGCGGAGCGGCGCGCGTGCGCAGAGCGGCGGGCAGCCATGGCGACCTTCTTCGGGGAGGTGGTGGTGGCGCCCTCCCGCGCCGGCGTGGACGACGACGAGGCGGCCGAGGAGACGCTCGAGGACCGCGAGATCCGCAGGGAGCTCGAGAAGAAAAGGTACCGGCCGCGGAGTGTGTGTGTACGGAGGGGTCGCCTCACAGCGGGCCGCGAACGCGGCCGGTCCCCGCGTCGCCATCGTGGTGTGTCCCCCCCCCGACACGAGGGAGGGCGGCCGCGGGGCGCCACGATGCCCCCTCGGGCGTCACTCCGGTGCGTGTTTCTCTTGCCAGGGAGGTCGAGGTGCAGTGGAGCTGGGGAGCGGGGGCGTCGGCGCAGGGCGCTGCGGACGAGCCCGTTTCCTGCTCCAAGCTGGTCGTAGCCGTGGGACATAACGCCGCAGGTGGGTGCCGCGAGCCGCAGCGGGGAAATAACTGAGGGGAAAAGCTGAGCCTGGAACAGCCGCGCGCTTCTGTTCCTGCCTAACGTGGAGAAAGTAGGAGCTGGAAGGAGGCGTCGCCAGAGCGTGTCAGGACTCGGCAAACTGTCCGTGCTTTAGCGCATCTTCACTTGGTTTCCTGTTACATATCGTGCTTACTGCACCCAGCTTTGTGTTTAGGGGGTAAAGTTTTAAACCTGAGGCTTCTGAGAAGATCTGTTTAGAGAAATCCAAGATTAGTCACCAGCTGGTGCATACGCAGCACAATAGTTTTATACCCGCTTCTTGTCAGATTCTGCTTAATCATGGTAGAAGTCCTTAGGCTTTCATTGGTAGAGTCCTTATGTGTGMCCTGCACTTGACAGGCTCCCCAGGATTGCATGTTGCATTGCAGAAATTTGCTTTTGAAAATACAGGTTGCTCTGCATATCCTAGTGTTTTCCAACAGGTGTCTGTAGGAAATGTAAAATTGTCATAAGTTAGCTCTGGTTCTTTATACCTCAAAATTTCATCTGAAATACTGTATACGTGTGAGATAGGATGAAGGTATGTGAATAGCATTATATGTGCTGTTCTTAGATCATTTTATACTAACAATACTAAATATTTGGCTTGGGTGCTTTACACGTTCCAGAATTTCAGAAAAGCTGTTGAATRTAAGCAATATATTAAACTTTATTTTAGAGTACTGGAAGGCCTCTAAGGTTTTATTGTTCTCGTTTTGGAAGACACTATGTTCTTCTCAGGCTATTTTGCTCTGTAGTTAGTAGTATTTTAGTTTAATATCCTTGAAAGAGTTTTAAATGTGGAGATTTGATTCTTAATTCTTCCTTGTTCGTAGTGTCTTCTTTTGAGGTGATCATTTCCTCATCAGAGATGGAGTCTTAGCACTCCCTCTAACCTTCCCACACCCACTTAATACCTAGATCTTAAATTTCTGAATAGCTTATTCACAGCAGAAATAAGTTTTAAGCTTTCTCAACATTTTCATCTCACTGACATCCTTATTTTGTATTTGATTTTTTTTTCCTTGAAAAAAACTTCAGATGATTAAGGGACTGGAGCATCTCTCGTATGAGGAGAGACTGAGTTGGACCTGTTTAGCTTGGAGAAGAGAAGGCTGAGAGGGGATCTGATTAACATGTATAAGCTCATAAAGGGAGAATGTAGGGAGGAAGGGGCCAAGCTCTTCTCAGTGGTGGCCAGTGACAGGACAAGGGGCAATGGGTGCAAGCTGCAACACAGGCAGTTCCATCTGCAKGTGAGGAGGAACKTCTTCCCTGTGAGGGTGMCAGAGCCCTGGCAYAGGCTGCCCAGGGAGGCTGTGGAGTCTCCTTCTCTGGAGATCTTCCCAACCCGCCTGGATGCCGCCCTGTGCCCCGTGCTCTGGGTGTCCCTGCTGGAGCAGGGGGTTGGACTGGATGATCTCTAGAGGTCCCTTCCAACCTTAAACATTCTGTGATTCTGTGATCTGTTCTAGATCAATCTTCAGTTTCACAGGCATTAATTTGATTTTTGTGATCATTTGACTTGAGATCGCTTGCTACTAAGCCCTGCAAACTTGTTCACTGTTTTCTAAAGACAGTATAATAGGTTTTGTTTTGTTGGCCCGATGATTCTGTTTTGGAAAAATCTATTAAATATGGTATATCAAGAAGTATTTGGGATGTAATGTTTAGAAGTATTTCTTCTTAGTGAACACTAAATGAAAGTTGACTATAGTGATAAAATTCCTAACAAGTTTTTGATGTTATTTATATCCAATAAATATTGCTCTTTCTTTTTAAAGTCTGATGGCTATGGGATTATTTACATTCTCAACTTTTCCTGGGTTTGATCAGTAAAAATAAGTATATAATTATATCTTCTGAATTTAAGAAAGAGTTTGCAAAGAAACTAATCTGGTTCAGGGATTTATTGGTAGAACAGCACTTTTATATCGGTGTAGACTAATGGTAGTGTTCTCTGCAGCTTTCCTGTCGTCTTTTATCCTGGATTCTGTTTGCTGGGAAGTTGTTGGAGTTGTGAAATTGTGGAATGAATGGTGTCGAACATCCAGCACAACAAACGTCCTCCCAACCGATTCTTTCTGCTTGTTCTATCGATTAATATCAGACCCAACTGTAAGTGACTTATGCACAAACTCATCTGCATTTAACTGTCTGAAGAAAGAGCAGTTTCCCCTTCCCCAGCCTGTTAACGACAGCAGTGTTTTGCGTTAGTCCCATCAAAAATACAGAGGGTCAGATTTCCTTCACCTTTGCTTGCTAAAACTGCCTGCAGTTCTCACACGTGAAGTTGGATTCGAAGAAGGTATGTGACAGGACTGAATGCTTCACACGAGCTGCGAAGGAAAAATTGTTAAGAAGAGTAGAAGAAACCCAAAATATTGAACAAGCTGTTGACTGCGATTGTGTGACCATGACATGTGATATATTATCATTGTACTCTTTAAACTGCTACTTTAAACACATTTTTTTTYCAGGTTTTATTGTGTCAGTGCAGTTGTTATGTGGCTGAGGATCAACAGTTCCAGTGGCTTGAAAAGGTAAAAATTGATAAAACAGCAAATTGAAATTGTAGGGGCAGAGATCCTCAACTTAATGCATGTGCTTCCTYTTCTCTGATGTTCTAACCGTAAAAAGTGGTGTGAATACTTGTTTTCACCATTGCTTTTTCTTCTCAGGTACTGAAAAAAAAGAAAAAATACCCTATCTGCAAACCTTTTGAAATTCTTTCTAGATCCTGCTGGTTATATCTGCTGTAACTCACTGACTTTATGCAGCTATTGGAGCAGTTGCCAGTTTCTATAAGAGTGTCATTTTTTGCTGTTTTTCTACTTTCCACTCTCTTTATCTTGACTTATTTTTTTCATTTTTATCAGCTGTATTTTAGTCCTGGCAGGATCTTTCTTTAAAAAATAATAATATAATTCCATTTGTGCAGCTACTAGAGGATCCCCAAACAAACTTGTCCTTAAATTCATGATATGTGGCATTTTTGCTGACAGGTGCCCTCAGCTTCTTTCTCAAGGTGGGATTCTGAATGAAGGTGCCCCTAAAGCACCATCTGTCCAGCCTGTTCATATACTCACTTTGCTACGTGGGCTGCTCTTGCATCGTTCAAGCTGTGGACACTGTTGAGGCTTTCACAGTTCTCCAAAAGTCATAATGTAGATTTTAGCAAATTCAGTAGGCCAGGTGAATAATCTGGCTGGCTGTGTGCATAYGTTGTAGTTAGTCACTCAATTTTAGTCAGTCATGCAGACCTCAGTCAAACTGCTCTTTACCACCTGCTCCTAAATTAAATTGGATCTTTGTGTTTTTATGCTGTTATTGCAGTAGCATTAAACCTGTGTTGGAACTTTTTTTTTCCTTCAGGTTTTTGGCTGCATCAGAAAGGAAGGCTTGCAAGTAACCATTCTTTCAACGTGTCCTGTAGCTGAATATAAAACTCAGGAATCCACTTTAACACTTCCATCGCCTTTTCTGAAAGCTCTAAAGACAAAAGAATTCAAAGAACCAGTCTGCTGCCCACTGCTGGAACAGCCGAACATCGTGCGAGACCTGCCTGCTGCTGGTACTCTGCAGTTCCGCTTACTTACCATGTTACAGACCACTGCTGCTCACAGGGCGTGTTGTGTTTTCAACAGCATCCCATTAGGATTAAAATCATGAATTACATGAACTAGCTATTCAAGATAACTTYCAAAAAATTCTTAGCAGTCTTAAGTGTTTTCTTCTAAAATGCAAACATTTTTAAAAAAAACACAAATATGTTTACYACCTAAGTGTTGGATATTAGAACTAGCAAATTTTGTCATAAAATTTCACAAAGTGCATCATATATTGGCTTTGAAATGCATTTAGTTCATAAATTAAAATGCCCAGTAAGTGGTATTTTCATGAGTACCATATTTGAGGCTTATAAAGCCCTTCCTGCATGCTGTGGTGCTGAGGGGTGTAGGTTTCACCATGGAATGGTGAAATTATCAGGATGGACCTGATATAAAAGCTAGATTCTGTTATATTCTTCTGTAGTAGAGTAGCTCTTTCAAGTCTTTTCATTATACAGTGCTAAAATAATAGTAGCATAACAGGTTGTCTATCAGGATCTATAGGGAGAAAAAATTCTGAGAAAAAGTTTCTATGCGCTTGAAGATTTGCCCTTTTAAAGTTCTTCTATTTTTCCTTTACCAATACCATACAGTTTCTGATTAAGATATGTTAGGAACAAAGCACCACTTAGTATTCACCGTTTGGTAGTTCAGTTTGTTGTGCACCTGGGGGTATGAGCCATGCTGGTCTTCCACTAGTAAAACTTTCAGTTAAGTTAAAAGGTTAAATGCCCTCTTTTTTTTAATTTATTTTTTTTATTTCTGAACAGAACAAAATGAGATTTTCATTACAAAATTGAGATTTCTTCTCTGCTGAATTTAAGACCTTTTCTCTTTTAGTTCTGAGTTATTGTCAAGTATGGCAGATTCCTGCAATATTGTATCAGTGCTACACGGATGTCATCAAACTGGACACGGTTACAGTTGAAGCATTCAAGCCTCTGCTTTCCTCTGGAATCTTCAAGAGTTTAGTTAAGGTACAAGGAAGATTCTGTCTGTCTCTTATCACGGTTTCATTCTGCTGTTTTTGTGCCTATGTAGAGACAGTAATTAAAAATGATATATGATGATACAGAAAGATACAAACTTTGTTTAGCACAAGTTCTCAAGTGCACATAGTGATTTCTGAAACGGTATCTGCTGTAATCATTTCTATGCMTTTTTAAGTTGCTTGGAAGTAAGGAATGTCTAGCTTTCCTCAGACCTTCACCTTAAATTTTCAGGCACTTGAAATGATAGCAGTATTTCAGGGAGTTACTTATTGAAATCATTTAAGCTACAGCTTCCCTGTGATGTGTCCTGCTTTAAAATGCCAATGTGTGTGTATGTATATATCTTTTTTTAATATATTCTACACACATACATAAGGTGATTCTGTTCTAGCTCTGCATGTGCCTGTCTTGGGCAATACCTGGAAGTTTCTTAAGAAGTGCACTTTGACCTASAACTTGTTTTTGGACTTGAAAGATTTCAAATTTATAAAGTTGACTCTTCCAGCTCTGCACTAATCAAACAGCTTCATGGTCATCACAGTCTAGCAACTGAACTCGACGTTTTTCTTTCAGAATTTTTTTTTTTATGAAAGTGTAGCCGTTTCAAAATAACTTGTTCCATTTTGCCAGCTGGGCTTCCATTTAGGTGATAGAGAGGCCTGTATATGCTGGAATGCTTATTTTTGCTATAACTGTAGGAATTACAAATTTTGCTTTCATTACAGCTTTCATTGGCCTATTAAATTTAGGCTAACAATTAGTATGCAAGTGTTCAGGAAATCCAGATTCTTCCTTTTCTTGGGTATGATCATGCAAGGGTGGACAGATACAAATTAAAAAAACAAGGGCAGGGTTAAACTGCAAATTCCTCTGGAMCTTTTAGCAGTGCTCCAGGTATCTTCATTTTTCAGACCCGAGTTTTGTTATAATTGCTGTTTTAATCAAACTGGTCTTCTCAGTAATAAATACTGGGAATGGGAGGAAATTAAGCTGTTTTGTATGTTTTTGTTACCAGCCATGTAGGTAATGCTGATTATCTCTTCCTTTCACTAGGATACCTCTGAGAGCACGAAGATTTTGAAGAAGTTGCTGACAACGAATGAAACTCACAGTAATATCTATATATAAAAAAGACATTTATGACATAGACTCAATTTTGTGAACTCCATTTTCTTCTGCAAAGGAGATATTGGAATTGTAGTTGTTTCCTTAAAAGTGGAATAAATTTTAATAGACTTTAGCAGTTATTTTTGTTAATCTTGAACATATTTGTAGTGATCAATTCATTTCTTCTGTATGGGATGGGAGACTTTCACATGGAGCWGTTTATCTACAAAAGTTACCTTAAATATGCAAATCAACATTATTTTTCTTTTGAGTTGGCAGACTTTTGTAAATATATATGTTCTATATGTGAAATAGTGCAGGTGGGGAATGCAGTCTTATGACAACTCTCTTTATCGTGAGAGCTGAAAGCTGCCCTACTTAAAGCTTTGTCTGTTAGGGAAGAAGTGAACTCTGCATCTTTTCACATGCATATACGTATAACCTGCGTACGTGTTCACATATGTGTGCTGGTCAGAATTGAAGTACAGTCAATATTGTTGACTGTAGGCTCAGCATCAGCCTTCCTCATGCAAACCCAGGAACTTAAGGCTGATTTTACAAATGAGTACAATAGCCAGAAATGTGCTTTTTGAAGACCTCCTGAGTGGAAAGGCTTGACGTGGATTCACTGGGGAAGTTGCCCTGGCCGCAGTAGAAGGCKTCTCCTGCGGGAGGGACGCGGCTGCCGGCGACGTCGCGTCCTGCCGGCGGTTCCAGCCCGCGCGCGGGAGCTGGGGGATGCAGCGCGAGCGGCGGCCGCAGGGGCTGCTGCCCGCAGCTCTCCCCGTGGGGCAGGAACCCCTGGCACCGCGAGGGGCTGCGGCCGCCTCGGCCACCGCTTTATCGGCACAGCGGCGCTGCGGATATCAAATTGGAAACTCGTGAAGGCTTCCCTTAGCTTTGAATTTTACACCTCAGAAAGTTTGCAGATTGTTACAAGCAGACCGAATTAGCCAGTCCTCAGTATAAGCTTCCGTAATCTTTTTAATTGCTAGCAGTAGTAGGATTTTTATGCTCAAGAGGACATCTTAYAGAGAAAAGTAAGCGTTCAGATTTTAATGTTAAATTATCTCTCAATTATTTATTTTCAGCAGTACTTAAAATTCTTCTTGGGATTGTGATGCAGATACAACTTTTGCATACTCGTGTAATTCAATATTCAAGAATATGATATTAAAAATACTGTTACTACCACAGATACTGTCACTGCATGAGGGTTTTTAACTGCGTGTAGGTTATTCTTTAGMGCAAGAACAACGGGTTCAAAGTTTTCTACTTAGTTTAGCTTTGGTTTATAGAGAATTCCCAGTGAAAACTTTGGTATGGTGCATTCCTGTAATGGAGCTGCCCYGCCTTCTGGTTTGAAAGGGGTGATTGTGATCAGTGTCTGCTGAAGTGATCGCTGGCCTCAGCAGATCTGTTACAGCTTCGGGTTTTGCATTTCTAACTGCATATTGTATGACAGTTCCAACTGTAGTAAAATTTAATTGACGTGGATTCAAAGTTGCTTATCGGTTAGATATTGATTTTAAACTTCAGCTGAAATAGCTAATGTTCAGAGCTAAGCAAGTGGCTGTTGCTTGAAGGGATACTGCGCTCTGGAAAAATCTGATGGAGTGTGAAGTGATGGTTATGGGATGAGTGGTTTGTTTTTCTGTTTCCACATAGTGTTTTAATAAGACCTGTTTGTACACGTGATCTGAGATGAGAATTCTGTTGCTCATAGGTTGGCTGCACCATTTTCTGATACGCTAAATATATCTCCCTTCCTGTATGAAGGTCTCCTTATCTTGCTACTTACTGGAACTTAAGTCATGTAGACTCCAGCTTTCCTACCCTGGCAGCAAATACCTGAAACCCCAACCCTGCAGTCTGTGCTGTGTTGCTAAAGGCTCAAGAGGAAAAGCTTGTCATTTCTGTGCCAAAAAAAAATGTATTAAAAATGGGAAATCAAGTAGGCAACATCTAGGAAAATACTGGAAATCTGCTTGTGCAAATGTAATTCAGTCCCTAGCCAAGACTTGAAGACATTTGCATTTCTGCCTGCAGGGTTAGTTGCTTTTTCTCCATGCCCTGCCCAAGGGCAATGCTGGGTTAGCTGAAAAATTAAAATAAGGCTGAAATGAAGGAATGAGAKATTCCTACCGTGTTTTTTGCTGCTGTTTTTCAGTGCCATCAGCTCTGCAGTTCTTTAAACATTTTAGATTAAAACTTTACCAACTGTTGCATGTGACAGTAACCAGCACCGATAGGAAAATCTGACTGGAGGAGTGAGATCAGAGTTTTGAGGTAAGACTTTCTGGGAAACACTGAGTTCCTATATTGATAAATATGATAGGAAAATAAATCATGAGCAGAAGTACTTGAATTTCATGCAATACATAACGCATGTAGGAGCTTTTGCCAAAAAGTATGCGAATTCTTTCCCTATGTTTTACCCGAATTGTGGAGCGCTTCCATCCATGTGCTGTAGTTCTTAAGCTGGGATGAATTCAGACTACTGCTGCCAGGTTTGGCTTGGATGTGGATCCATTTTTTTTTTTTTTTCTTTTCCCCTCCTAATCAGCTCTGTGGACTTCAAAGTCAATGCAGTGCTTCACAGGAGGTGAACATAGGAGTGCACAGAATCACCAAGGTTGGAAGAGACCTCTAGAGATCATCTATTCYAACCCCTTGCTCCAGCAGGGACACCCAGAGCACGGGGCACAGGGCGGCATCCAGGCGGGTTGGGAAGATCTCCAGAGAAGGAGACTCCACAGCCTCCCTGGGCAGCCTGTGCCAGGGCTCTGGCACCCTCACAGGAAAGAAGTTCCTCCTCACATGCAGATGGAACTGCCTGTGTGTCAACTTATACTCATTATGCCTTGTCCTGTCACTGGCCACCACTGAGAAGAGCTTGGCCCCTTCCTCCCTACAATCTCCCTTCATGTATTCATACATGTTAATCAGATCCCCTCTCAGCCTTCTCCCAGCTGAACAGGCCCAACTCAGTCTCTCAAGTCTCAGCGCGTAGTGCTCATGTTTGCCAACAGCAGCAGTTTGATTGCTGAGCAGCTGAACAGCAATGAGTAGCCTTGCACAGAACAAAAAAAATGGGGGGTAGAAGGGTTGTATTTGGCATTTTGCATTAGAACAGGAAAAAGCCAGCATGGGAGAGGGGAGAACACAGCAGGAGAAGATGAGCACCGGTCATCCTATAAAGTGGAGGTTTGCCTGCATAGGAGAACTGCTGTGAAATAAAAGTAGAGATTAAGGTGCAGTAGCTCATCCCCTCTGAGCAGCATTCTCACTGGGCACAAAAAAAGCTTATGTGCTGCTCAGCTCAATCCTCTTCCACACTGGTTTGATTGAAAAAAAAAAAAAAAATCAGGGCAGAATAATCACAGAAAACAAGTGCAAAATGCCCAAGTGCCCTGGTGGCCATGGTGGGTTTAGGAGGGCCCTGGGGCGCCTCCCCAGTGCCCAAAAGCACCTTCCTGTTCAGCCTTGCTGGAAGCCACCTCGGCCCCCACGTGAGGAATGCCTGCTTGAACAAGTACCTCCATTCCATAATTTTTAAGGAAAAATTATTCTGTGATTTTTTTTTTTTAATATGTAGCCGCAGACGCAGCGAAGTAAATGTATCTTTATGAACATGATCTTCATCTTCTACGATGGTTGTTGAAGAGACCTTGTTAGTAAAAATGAAGTAAAAATGACTTGTTACACTTCCCAGCTAACATGCTGCCATGGCAAATAAAGAAATTGTAGATTATGCAAGTTTGTCTAGCACAATTTTATTTGAAGGTTATGGGGTTTTATTTGAAATTTAAAAATGGAGTACTCTGGCAAGAAATTCTGCTGCAGCCTTGGCTGAATCAAAACATAGTCATCTATTCCCTGAAATATGTCAGTCTAGGTTTTGCTATTACTGAGAGGGAAATAGCACTTATTTACTAATTTCAAATAAATACTAGCTCTGCTTACCCAGGGGTAAATGAAGATAATGGCAATTTGTCCAATATCATGGAAAAAAAGAGCCTCAGAAGGTTAACTTGAGAACTGTGAGATTAAAAGTGTGATATATATATATACATACATATATATAAAAGTGCAAAAGTACACAAGTTTATTTCATGTTCGCTTGCTAAGAAGCAGCTCACTCAAAATAGGAATAAGTACTGAGTCTTACTCTGTATGACTCTGTGTGAGTACATAGGGTTGTTTTATCCAGCAGGTCGAGGGAGGTGATCATCCCCCTCTACTCAGCCCTGGTGAGGCCACATCTGGAG